TTTCTTTTCATTTTTGAAAATATTTTATGTGGCACTTTCTCAAATCAGGACACATTTCTACACTAAATGGAGTTTGAACATTCTTACCACCGTGTTAAACATTTCCACTCCTTTTTCTTCTGCAAAGTTCTATTAGCTCACTGGGTTCAGTGTTGCACGTCTAAAATAAAACACATTAAGGAGATTTACAGCCAGTTAATTGGCTGTCTCTTTCTCGTTACCCTTTTATATTCAAGCATGCACTTTGTTATGTATCTAAATAATACATTATTGTAAAGTACTGCATTCACAAAAGGTAATTTGGGGAGTTTATGTATAAATTTCATGCAAGACTAAAAGATAATTCCCCAACTTAATGAAAAAGCAGTTATTTCCTGACCCTTTTATTTAGGAAAAAACAAGTGCTTTTAAACTTATGTTAATTAATCTTACTTAGAAGTTAATTAATCTTACTTAGAAGTAGGATTAATTAACATGGAGTTTAAAAAAGGTCACCTGAAGTCATTATTTATTCTTATTTTTAGATCGTAGTTCAGAAGTTATGTAACATCTGTTGTAAATTGCTATGTCTTCAAGATGCTCTCAAATGGGTTGTGCTTGTATAATTATACTTTATATTTTATTGTTGTCTTTTTTGTGACACATATTTATATATTTACATTTCCCGTAAAATTCTAAGCTTTCAGGTTTTTTATGGATACTCGATAAATAGTAGCTTTTTGATGAAAAAGCAGGAAGAAAAGGGGAAATACATATAAAGTACTGTTTTGATTTGTGAAATTCAGGCAGATGTTAAAGGCTGTCAGTAATGTTGGTTGAGTCAATGACTTAATGGTGAAACAGAGATGGTCATTAATCTTTATTACAAAGGTCACATTTGCTGCTGATGAGATGTGTCCAAAGTAGGATGTGAAGTTGCTCTGCCTTGCATTTTCACTCCCAAGACACGCTATTTCTTGTATATCCTTCTAGAAATGTTCATTCATAAACATATACTTAAAGAAAATTTCTGTTCTTTTGTTTCTCTACAGATGAGATCATATGACCTACTATTCTGTGGCTTGTTTTTCTCATTTAACAATTATCCACTTAAAATAATAATATATAATAACAATAGTCAGCATTTGTTATGCCAGGCATTATGCTAAACAACTTTACATGTACTATTCTTTTGATACTCACCATTCTTTTCTAAGCTGTTGATGATAAAGACAGAGGGAACAGAGAGGGTAAGAAACATGCCCAAGGTCACACAGCTAGTAAGTGTGGGCCTAGTCTTTAAAAGCAGGGGACTGACGCCAGACACTGGGCTCTCGATCCCTCTGTTTCCTCCTCATGAGCACCGTGAGGATGTTCTAAGTCAGCCCGGACAGGTCTACTTTGCTCCTTTCAGTGACTGCTTGCAGATGGTGTTGGGGCCTTACACATTGTCCTCAGTTCTCATGCTCTGGGGTACTTCAGCTGCCAGTGTCTGCATCTCTTTGTCTGAGGTCTTTTCTCAAAGCCTCTGAAGCCCACTTGGCAGCAGGCACGTGCTGCCCACCAGTAGTGGTCCTCAGCCAATGAGGTAAATCACCAGCCCCCTTGCCCCAGACAGTGTAACTCTGAGAGGGTGTTCTACACTGACTCTCAGAGTTTCCCTCAGGGTTCAGCCCCAGGTGCTCCTGGCAGTGACTTTCCTTCCCGTGTCATCCTCTGTTCCTTACTGTACTTTCACTTCACAGATGAGCCACCTGCACTGACTGCCTGTCCTATCAGTTGCTGGTGGGCACCCAGACTCAGGCCATGTGATGCTCCATTGCACAGAGCTACCATCGTTCATCCACTCAGTCTCAGGTTGGCAGATTTGCATAGGATTTCCAGCTTTTCCTGCCATTATAAAGAACACTGTAGTGAATATTCTTGCATTATTGTTATGGGGCTCCTGCCCTGGGCCCCCACCCCATCTCCCTCCTTGTGTCTGGGCCTGGCCTCGGCCAGCCACACTGAGGTGGCACCTCAAGGATGGACCACAGCCAGATGGGGCTCGGTAACCATTTCTTCCCATCGGGTGCTCTCTGACCCTCTACCCAATGTGCAGTTGACCACGTGAGGAGCTCTCGTCTTCACACTGATGGGCCTTGCCCTGGCTTCAGGAGGGTGGCGGGTTAGCCGAACACTCCTACTTGCCAATGCGTTGTTTCCTTTGTGGGATCGCATGAGATTGGGTCACTGGAATGGCAGTGACATGCTGATTTTGGGTAGATCGAATTTTTATGTAGATGAGACTCCTCCCAGAGCCCTGCTCACCCGGGGGCAACCCTGTGATTGCCCTGGAGGTTTAAGAAATCTGATGTGGGCAGATATCTCTGAAATTCATCAGGCCTTCCTGTCTGCCCATCAAGATTTGCTTGCTCATTGAATGAGGTTATCCATGTTGTTTTGTGAGGCAAGGGGATAAAAAAGAATTTCTCTTAAATCTTTGGAAACATTTTAAGCAGCACAAAAATTTGCAGGTGAGCATCCTGGCTTTAAATGAACACCAGAGTGCTTTCAAACTTACAGCATGTGCTCTGACATGCACTGGATGATACCAGCACACTCAGTAGAGACCACAGTGCGTGGTGTTGTGCAGCCAGATCACCTCGTGCTGGTAAAAGTCTCTTTAACAATTTCTAGTTGTAAAGCTTCCCTTTATCTAATGTAAGGATGTTACCCTAAAACTGCAAAGCAAATTACTAAAAAAAGACCCCATATGAATCAAAGATACTCTCTATATACTTCATATTATAGGCACAGATTGAACCTGAGGGCTAGGAGTGTCATTTAGTGACCTGGATTCTAGATTTTTGAGTTCATTCAAATAGTCTCATTGTTCCCGTACATTGGTTATTTTGTAAAAAGTATGTTTATATGGTATACATATATAAATGTATATAAACCATGAGGATTATATTCAATAGAATTGCTTTTTTCAAAGTTCAGGAATCACTTTCCTAACCCTACGGGGTCCGGGTAGAGAACGTCCAAGGTGTGTGGGTGGTCGGGCCTGGACCCCAAGCCTGGGGACACTGTCACTGCCAGCCATCTTTCCCAAAGGCGATGGTGGTTGATAGAATTGACTGTCGAGCAAACATCCCTGCCCTCATAGTGCTTTTATCTACTTGGAGAGGCAAACAACAAGCTAATGAGCAAATGCATAATTTGAAGCTATGAAATGCTAGGATGCTAGGAAGGAAGCGGACTGGGTGACATGATGGAGACTATTGGTGTGGGGTGGACTGGAGGGCCTACTCCATGCAGGGTCAAGGAAGGCCTCTGAGGAGGTGGCACCTGAGCTGAGATCCATGTCCTGGGAAGATCGAGGGGAAGAGCAGCCCAGAGGGAAAGCCTGTGCCAGGGCCCTGAGAAGGAGGCCCCGAGTGCTGGGAAGTGGGGATGTGGGGAGTGGGTAGCACGTGGACACGAGGGGACCTGTGGGGCCTGGCAGACAGGGGCATGCACTTTAAGGCTAGTAGGAAGACACAGAAAGGTTTCAAGGGCAAGGCTGTGCCATGGTCTGATTGCTGTGTTGATGTCCCTCTGGCTGTTCTGTGCAGAGAGGCTCCAAGCAGGGTAAGAGGAAGCGCAAGAGCACTGGGAAGCGATCTTCCCGCTGAGGCTGGCTTGCACCAGGGGAGTGATATGGAGACGGGCGGGGGGCCTCAGATCTGTTCTGGAAGTAGAATCAGCAAGAGTTGATCGTGGATTACATTTAGGTCTGATGGAAAGAATATCAAGGATGACTTCCAGGATTCCAGCTCAATGAACTGGGTAGATGGGGAAGGCAGATGGAGGGCCAGATGTGGGGGGGAATCAAGACTTCATTTTAGATTCTCTCTCTCCTTCCTTCCTTCCATCCATTCTTTTTCTTCCTTTCTTTCTTTTAAGCTGGAGGTACCACTGAATCGAAGGAGATGTTGAGGAGGCAGCTGCAAGTTAGAGAAATCTGAGCTGAGACCTGCACATGGGGCATTAGAATCCATCTATTTAAAATTACAGTCCTGGAGGGAATCCCGTGTGTAGGGACTGTGGGGAGAGACAAGGAGCCCGGCACAGAGAAGAGAGCAATGTCACGGGGGGCCAGGGCAGAGTGCTCCTCAGACCCCAAACCTCCTGGCTCCAGAGTGGAACGAGCTGGAAGGTTGGCAGCTGCTTGTAACAGGCTGAGCATCATTTCAGCCGTCAGTCTGTCCAAATGCAACAGAGAACAGGAGGAAAGGGGAGCAGAGAGTTCCTCATCTTTGTGCCAAAAATGTCGCCCTTTCAGGAGCTGGCCCGTTAGCTCAGTTGGTTAGAGCATGGTGTTAGAACACCAAGGTCAAGAGTTAGGATACACTTTGGGTTCAGAGGAGAAGTGAGCTCGTGAAGCTTCTTCACCTAAAGCAAGAAATGACCTTCTCATCTATGGACGTTTGGATTGCACAAAAATAATGTGACATTATTATGACTAATTATGACTAAGAAATTAGGTAAAAGCAGCTTAAAAAGAAATGTTTTCTCCTACAAGGGCAGACTAATGATTAGCTATTTGAAGTAAATACAAGATCTGGCAGTTTTTCCCCTACACTCTTAACTTGTGGTTACTAAAATAATGGTAGTAAGATTCTGATTTTTACAGTTCCTTGCTTAACTAAACAGCTCAAGATTTATAAATGCCATTGACAGAATGGTAAGAGTAAAATAACTATAATTAGTTTATATGTGTTTCCACATACATACACACACATACCACACACATATATACAAACACACACACATGTGCACACGAAGTAATTCAATTTATCATACAGCTTAAATTCAGATTGAAAAAATGCAATGCCTCTGTTTTTTATTTTTGTGTTAAATCCATCATTTGTGTATCTATTATTAGATTTTTGCTCAAATCTAATTTTCTGTAGGCCCAAGTGATTATATATTTCTGTTAGAAGGCACTGTTTCAGAGTCACCCCATTCTCCTGTTATGTAATTTTCCTTCTCAGGGCCAACCAGGACCACCAGGGCCACAAGGTCCAATTGGGCCCCTGGGACCACCAGGATCCATTGGGATTCCAGGAGAGAAAGGAATGAAAGGTGACAGTGGCCCTCCTGGAGCAGCAGGGGACAAAGGAGATAAGGTGAGCTGCTTCTTAAGTGAAAGATTCATATTAACCATTCACCAGCACTGCTATGCTGTTTTTTAGATATTCACAAGTCATACATACTCGTACCTTATGATAAATTAAGTCTAAACTCCTCTTCAATAATCAGTCCTCGTTCCTAGCCCCTTTCCATAGGAGCATGACCTTCTAGACCTTTTCTATGCACTTAAGTACATGTGTGTACACATGGAGAAGCCACACTGTTTTGTGATTTTTAAAAAATCTAAATAACATTATATTACATGTATCATGCTGAGCCTTTCTTTTTTTCACCCAACAGTATGTATTAGAGGTCAGTTCATATCCGTTTATGTAGATCGAGCTTATCCCTTTAAAAATGTTGCATACAAAGCAATAATATGGATAAAACAATAGTTTATTTCCTGTTGATGAGAATTTGAGATTCTACCCCAACTTTGGGTGTTTCTGATATGCAAAAATTATCCTGTAAATTGCTTGTGTGCACATTTAAGAGTTTGTTACTATAGGATAGATTGTGAGAAGTTGAATTTCTGGCTCACAACGTGTTGAATATTTTCTTTGAATTGGTACTGCCAAGTTGCCTTCCTTAGTACAAAAAAAAGTACAAAAGGTTGATTCTTAAATGTTGGCATTTAAACTCATCAATCTAAAAATAGGTAACAGTGACTACTAAGTGTTTTTAAATATGTCATTAATTATGTTTTCAAGTAAATCAGCTTGTTAATCTAATAACTTAGTTTTCTATCTATCTATCTATATTTTGGCAGCTGGCCAATACAGGGATCCAGACCCTTGACCCTGGTGTTATTAGGCTGTGCTCTAACCAACTGAGCTAATTGGCTAGCCTAATTAGTTAGTAATTTTTATGTATTTGTTTTATTTTCTGGGATTTTAGGGTCCAACTGGTGTTCCTGGATTTCCAGGTTTGGATGGCATACCTGTAAGTATTCCTTAATTTTTTCCACTCTTCCAAAGAAGGGAGAAGCACTCATCAAAATCCTTAAAACCACGTGTTTATACACACACACACACACACACACACACACACACACACACACACACACACATATATAATGGAAACTTTTAAAAGTTTTTTCATCTTAATGCAAGGAAGGGTGCTTGTGTTTCAATTTTGTATGATAACTCCAAAATGAAAACAGCTTACTTGAAGAGCAAGGTTTTCAAACAGGTTAGAGAAAAAATTACAAAATATGAGCTAGATATATTCATCATGTCAAGTACAATGTTCTGGAAATACATGTATACTCATAATAAAAGTTTTTATTTGCTGGTGAGTTCTAACTCTGGAAGTGGGCTTAAGACTCTCATTTCTAATATGAAAATCAAATGGAAGAAGGAAGAGATGTTTGGGGGATTTTTATAATTCTTTGATTCTTTCTATGAATTTCAAAGGTTTTCTTCCAAATTTCTCAGAATACTTCAAACAAAGTTAATTGAAATTTGGATACAGTTTGAAAGTTTATTTTTATTTTTACCATGCTACATTGCACTTTTGGTGGAGAAGGAAGTTTTACAAAATTAAACAAATAAATATGTGAGTCTAATTGCCAGAATTTGGGTGTCTGTATTGTGTGACCTTTGTGTTATCGCGTTCTTGCAAAAATCCTTCACTTATAATTTTGTTTTCTATAGGGGCACCCAGGGCCTCCCGGATCCAGAGGCAGACCTGGCATAGATGGCTACAATGGTTCAAGAGGTGATCCAGGGTTTCCAGGAGAAAGAGGCATCCCTGGCCCAGGAGGCCTCCCTGTAAGACACCCATAGCTGGTCCTAATAGGGATTTTAAGAGAAAAGTTCCTATGGTGGGAACTGGCTTGGTGTGTGCAAGAAAAAGTTAATACAAGTGTGCCTGGAGCATGGTGAACAAATGGGGTGACTGGAGGATGAGGACAGAGATGGGGGCAGCATGTGGGGCCTTGTCGACTATGGAAGGAGACTAGATTTCCTTTTCCATTCCATGCAAAGGCACTGGATGGTTTAAGGAAGGAAGCAACATGATCCGATTGATGTTTCATTAAGGTGTCTCTAGCTGCTGTACAGAGAATGGATCGTAGGGAGAAGGCAGCAGAGAGGACAGTTAGCAAAACTTATGTTGTTAAGCCCTGGTAGGTATTTCAAACAGAAAGGAATTTAATACAGGGAGCTTGGCACTTATTGTAATGGTTGGAGAAGTAGAACTCAGGGGCTGCTATGGGACTACTGATTTCAAGGGCTCACACTTAGCTGAGATCCAGCTGGAACACTCACACTTAGCAAACACTCAAGTTTTCACTTTCCTGCTTGGCAGCAACAGCGGACCAGAAGGAGGATCTCTTTCTCACATCCTTCCACATCTTCTGAGTGAAACTTAATTCACACCCAGCTACACAGAGTTCTGGGAAATGTAGTTTTTCTCTTTCTGGTCCCTGTGATGCAAGAAGATAAATTAGAAAGGGCTTGGAATGGATGTCTAGAAACAGTTGACAATATCTAGCCTTGAAAACTTCACTACTCTTGGCTTCTTTTTTTTCTTCAGATTTTTGGACTTTAATTTAAACCTAACTTCAGCGAGAGCTACCCCCTCATGTTCCCTTTCTCTTTACCCCTCATATTCCCTTTCTCTCTTTCTTTTTCTCACTTAAATAAAGATGGGAGATAATTTGGCCTTTCAAAATTGATTGTCTATGACTGTTTTTCAGCCCTTCCCCTTCCCCAGTTCAATTTAATTTCCCACGATTTCTTTCTAAAAGTTTTTCTCATCACTGTAGTCATCCTGCTTTTTGCTCATGAGTGTTCCTTTTGCTGCAGAACCTAGAGGAACTGATCTGAACACAGAACTCAGAAAGAATTTTCCTACTCACATCTTTCTTGAACCAAGTAAGAACAATACCGTCTTTAACTGTTAAGCTTCTCAACCAGGCTTTGCCCTCAAACTCAGCCATTTGAAGACTGAAGTGCAGTCTGGTGAATGCACATGACTTAAGCTCTTTAAATTAGGCCAAATCTCATTCTACTGATTCATGAACATTTGAGAGCAGGGGTTCTCAATTTTAGATTTTGCAGAGCATGTAGTACTGACCACAATACTAAAGTTTTTTATACCGGTCTCTTTGCAAAGCACCTTTCTTCCCCTTGACCCATTTGCAGTAATGTGAGAACATGAGAATGACCACACAAGCCCAACGCACGCTAAGCAACCCCATCAACCAATGAGAAAAAGTACTACTGCTCTGTGACCTTTAAAACGTCTTGTTAAAACATGAAAAACTCTTTTACTGTCAGTTACAAATTAGAGGGGTCTTCAAAAAGTTCATGGAAAGATAATACAAATCTTTTAAATCTATTTTTTCCAGGAACTTTTTGAAGTACCCTTGTGTATAGGGAAATGAAAAAACAAAACAAGACAGAATTTATTTAGTACACTGTAATTTGAAATACTGAGAATCAAAGTGTTTTATTTCTTTGTAAAACTTATCAAGAGTAGTTTCAACAGTGCTTGCCTTCTTGTGATATAACTTATGATAGTAAATGAGCATATTTTCTATGCCTTAGTAAAGTGTCACACTCCTTTCTAAGTTTGGATCTCTTTGGGTGTTGTGAAATATCTCCAAGAGTTCTTTTAATGTGAAGGTTTTTGCCTGTGTCATTTCCTCCAGGACATCTTCATCCTTTTTGTCACAGCCTCTTTCTTGTTTTATGTTGATAAATTCATCTTCACTGAGTTCCTCTGGCTGCGTACACAGAGATCTCAAATGATTGCGGTGTCAACGTTCCATGGTCGGCGGTTGCTTCTAAAACACCTTTTATGTTGTATTTGAAGTTCATTTCCAACATTACAATTTTTTTTATTTCTTTGCTTCACTTTCACCTTTTTTGGCCATGATGTTCCCTCTTTCCATTATTCATTTTTGTAAAATGTCATTTGCATTTATTGCTGGGACTTGATGAGGCAACACATCTACACACTTTGCTGTGTGTGTATGTGTGTGAGTGTGTGTGTGTGCTCTGAATTACAGATGTGCAGTGACCAATCACAGGAAGACTTTGATAAAAGTGCTGTGATCAGACAGTGATCAAGATTCACATGTTATTTGTGAAGTGATTTATGAACTGAGGAGCTAGCAGTGAAGTTTGTCCTTTATTCAATCACTCAGTTAATATACAATGATAACTAAAATTTGAACCAAGTTTTTGGAGGACTGGCATTGTTTAACTTAACTATGGAACTGAAATTTATGCATATTGAAACTGCAAAGCCAGGACTGCCTGTATAGGCAAGTCCGATTTCTCAAGTAAAGTGTTGCTGTAACTTAACATAGAATCACTAACTATCTCTTGTTGGAAGCAAAGTCCTGTACTCCTCTAAGAGAAATTAACCTTGGAATTTGTATGTCCTTTGTAGGAGCTTGATACATAAAGATGGCAGAATTTTTGTGTGGTAACCAAATTAAGATATACTGAGATATTAAGTAGGCTATTAAGATATTAAGTAGGAAAACCTTGGGGTGGGGAGAATACATTGAGTATTTCATCCACTTTTTAAAAATACCCTAAGCAAACTAGCAGCAACATACAAAAACCTTCCAAAAATAACATGCTATGTTTTTAAAAGTTAATCTTACAAATGATATATAGGTTCTATTTTGAATACAAGTACTGAAATGAATAAAATTAATAGTTTTGCTTACTATTTATAAGGCATAAATTAACTAACAATTGCAAAATTGATTATTTTTAAGAATAATTCATGTACATTATATTGTGAGGGAAAATGCAATTTTCCTGCTGAATAATTAACACATAACTACATTTTAGTAGATTCCTTAACAGATTGTAACTGAATATTGAGTAAATATACATGAGAACCTTAGGATGATAATAATGATAATAATAATAAAGAAATCTGCTAGTGAAACATGACTATAATGGTAATTTGTTGGTCAGTAATATTTCATAAAGAAAAGAAAATACTGAAATAGTAATGTACATTTTTCCTCTTAAATGAATACTTTATTTTTAGGGCCTTCCTGGAGAAAATGGAGAAAAAGGAAATTCAGTGTTCATTTTAGGCACCTTTAAAGGTATTCCGGTAAGTACTTGTGTTATTAGCCAGAAGTTGAACAGATATTCATATATCCATGTTCAAAGCAGCATTATTCACAATAGCCAAAAGGTGGAAGCAACCTAAGTGCTTATTGACAGATGAATGGATAAACAAAATGTGGTATATCCATAGGATGGAATATTACTCAGCCTTAAAAAAGAAGAAAATTCTGACACACGTAACAACATGGATTAAACATGAAATCATTATGCTGTGAAATAAGTGAAATAAGCCAGTCACAAAAGGATAGACATTGTATGATTCCACTCATAGGGACAGAAAGTAGGATGGTCTTTGCCAGGGACTGGAGGGAAGTGGAAATGGGGTTAGTGTTTAGTGTGCACAGGGGTTTTGTGGTAGAGAATGAAGAAGTTCTGGAAGTGGATGGTGATCATGGCTGAGTAACAATGTGAACATACTGAATGCCACAGACTAATTGTACACCTAAAAATGGTTAAAATGTTATCATATATATTTTACATTTTAACAAGAGCCAATATCCCAGAAAATATACATCCTTTGATCCTTTCAAGTAGGTTGAGTCTTAACACAGAGTCACAAGGCAGTAGATGTGGACAGAAGCAGGTGTCATAGAATTTCCACATGAATTCCCTTTGCGTACACTCTAGAGTGCTCAAAGGAGCCAGGTGTTTATAAAGCAAGGCAGGTGTGACAATCAGAACAGAGACAGTTAACTGTGAAGAAGTGGGGCCATTGGAAAGATAAAGTCTTATCTTGATTCCATGTCATTGTGACTCCAGCAATCCTTGTCTGGTCTTGGCTGAGTAGAAGGGCCTAAGAATGGAGAAAGAAAATCACCCCATAGAGCCCTTCATTGTCGTCACAGCACTGAAAAATGGAACAAACTGCACCGTTAGACCAGTCCAAATAATGTCTGTGTCTATTTCTATTTTTATATAATCTGTATTTTCGGAAAATTGTATTGCCCTTATAAAGCTATATATCATTATTATTGCAGGGAGACAGAGGGGACCCAGGACCACCTGGCATACCAGTAAGTCTTCTGAGCAGGCCATGTGCTTCTATTTTCTCCTCAAAAAGCCCACAAACCACACTAGATTTTAATCCCAGCAGGGCCAGCTATGTAATTTGAGGAGCACACCCAGTGCAAAATGAAAACATTGGACTCATGTTTAAAATTACTAAGAATTTCAAGAAGGCAAGAGCAGAACATTAACTTGAGCAGGGGGCTCTGTGTGGCTGTAAAGGTCACACGCCCATGAAGCCATCCTTGCATCTCCGGTCACTTCCTCCTGTCTTCCTCTTCAATCTTTTAATGCTCTTTTAGCATTGCTGGGGTATAGGCAGACATTTAATGTTTAGGAAGGTAAATCTACCAAGCAACTCCATACGTGACATGTCAAGTGGGATCATTTCACATTGTCTCTCTTTAGCATGTTGCCTGCCAAATCAGTAATTGTGTATTACAGTTCATATTTTGTCCCATTTTTACCTCCCTGAAATTTGTAATTCAATTATTATATTAGTCTTTCCAGTGTCTCAGTGTTTACAAGATTAAAATTGAAAGCAATTTTGCCTTCCAGTGGTTAACCTATAATTTTACATTGTGACTTCCAGCTATTGACAGCATTCCTTTCCCAGGCTGGTTTCCTTACCACTACTGAAGCTCAGGTCTACATATAAATAAATGTGTCACCTTGATATTACTGTTAAATACCAGTTCATCCTCCTAAAGAGAGCAGTTTCATGACATACTCGCAAATCATTTGACACGGGCAGAGTCGGTGGGAGCGCAGAGGGCCTCTGTCCACACTCCCAGGGTTGCCTTTCCCTGCTGATTTTTGTGTAGTGATGCCCCAACTTACACGTTGCAGAAAATTGTTTATGGCTGAATTGTCTCCATCCTGAGTTGGGGACATCTCTATTCACATTGATCTTGTAGGGCATGTTTTAAATATATACTAAAAGTACAAATACATTTTTTTTTTTTGTCTTTTTTGTGACCGGTAAGGGGATCACAACCCTTGGTGTGGGGTTGCCCGCACCACGCTCAGCCAGTGAGCGCAACAGCCAGTTCCATATAGGATCCGAACCCGCAGCGGGAGCGTCGCCGCGTTCCCAGTGCCGCACACTCCCGAGCGCGCCACGGGGCCGGCCCAAAAGTACAAATACATTAATTTTTCAATATTAGTTAGTGTTAATTCATATTAATATTTCTAAAGCATCCTGATGTATATCAAATTTGTAACATATTTGGAATTTAGGAGCAGCTAGTAATGAGTTTTATTTATTCTCTACTTCTGCTACTGTGCGATTTATTTGTAAATAGGCAGATGGGTCTCTGGGTCTTACTGTGATCCTAAAGGTAGGAATTGGTCACACCTACCAGAGCACTGCTGCCCTCTAGCTTTGGGAAGAGGGTGCTGTTGAAGGTGCTCCAGCTGGCACAGGTGTTGGGGCTGTGATTTCTTTGGAGGTTTTTAATCTACCTAAGATTACAATGCAGCTCTTGCTGTGAAAGATGATTATGATTTTGGGTAACGAGTGCACTGATTTTTCTCATGTTTAGGGTCCTTGGGGTGCAAGAGGACCAGCAGGCCCCATGGGATATCCCGGGGAGTCAGGGTTAGGGGTAAGTACAGCACTGTTGGTGCTGCCCCCCAAGAACCCAGAGTCAATGTCAAAATAAAATAAAAAAGCAAAGTTGCCACCTTGGGTTGGGCACAGGTGGGGTCTTTGAGAGACTGAAGAATCAGTGAAAACCCACCATTATCAGTGGGAATCCACCTTGGGGTAAGCCATTGGCATTGTGTTCATATGTCATAACAGCTCATCCGTGATGGAAAGCCATCATGCACGTTTCCTAAGTGAGCTGGAAGCAGCCAATGAAGACACGTTCAGATTTCTATGACCGATAATTGATTGTGTGTGTGCTTTTTCTTGCCATTGATTTAGGGACCTCCGGGCCGTCCTGGGAGTCCAGGTTTGAAGGTAGGCAGTCATGAGTAAGACACGTAAATAGAACCCATGCACAGTGAGGTAACTGACCACTGATATTTGTCAGAATTGTGTCTTCCCTCTTATCAGACTTACCAAAATGTTAAATAAACTTCAGTGAATCATGTAACCAGAAGTCTTCATTGCTTTTCATCTCTTTCTTAAAATTCAAAAGCAATTAGATTTATTTCCTTTCTTTTCCAGGGTAAACCTGGCGTGGGAGTAAAGGGGCAGATGGGAGACCCGGTAAGAATCCCTTTTGCACAAAGGAGCAGATGTTAAAATGTGTGTGCTGCCCAGTGCTGGAGGCTGTGCTGATTATTTCTTAACTTGTGTTCATTAGCTAGTCACTGCCCAATTTTATGGCTGAGAACTTTTCCTTGCTGAATTATTGTAGCACCATGACTCTTGACTATAAAATAACAGTTTTGACAAAATTTCATATGAAATTCATAGTTAATTTATGCAACACATGTCACATAGCAAAAAGAGATTGAACATGTTTGATAACATATTTTATGTAGAGTAACAATTTTGTTGAATTACTGATTTGTTTGGCTTAATTTCACAAATTTCATTGGAATTCGAAACTCCACACATAAATATGAATAGAAATACAAATGAACATGTAAGCAGCTGGGACCCTTAGCAACATGTATTTAGCAACATGCAATCTTTCATGCCTCAGTGCCCCTCCTCTCCCCCAACATCCCTCTTCACTGCTCTTCCCCGCCTCCACCTACCTACGGTCCTTTCTGCTGAGGCATGAAACGTAGTAAAGATAAGATTTAGAAAGTGATTTAAGATGGCAGCTAACCTGGAAACAATCTGAACGTCCTATAGTAGGTGAGGCTCTTTCAACAACCCTTGGCAAATAGGTAGTGAGCATCTACTCTGTGCCAGGCTAGGACTGACACTGGGGATGGGGATTTAGCAAGGCAGGCCGGATCCCTGCTCTTATGTAGCTCCAGCATGATTGAGTAGGTTATGGGTCAGTCAACACAACACGATAGGCAAAAATATATATGAAGAATACATGATATGGAGAAATGCCTATGATACAACGTTGAGCAGAAACGACCAGTTTCTTTCTTTTTTTTTCTTCCTTTTTGTCTTTTTTACTGACCGGTAACGGGATTGCAACCCTCGATGTCGCGCCCGTACCGGGGACCGGCAACAGGATCGCAACCCTCGGTGTTGCGCCCGCACCGCGCTCAGCCAGTGAGCGGGAACCGGTCTCCACATGGGATCCGAACCCTCGGCAGGAGCGCCGCCGCGCTCCCAAGCGGTGCACTCTCCAGTGCGCCACCGGGCCGGCCCTGAAATGACCAGTTTCAAAAGTATAAACTCAACTTTGCAAAAGCAACAACAATAAAAAGATGTTAAAAAATACACTTAGAGGAATTTCTCAATCTCAACATTTCTGATATTTCATTGTTGCGAAGGGCTGGCCTGTGCATTATAGGATGTTTAGCAGCGTTCTGGGCGTCTACCCACTAGATTTCAGTAGCATCCCTTCCCCCCAAGTTGTGACCGTCAAAAATGTGTCAAGTCATGGCCAAATGTCCCTGGGAGGAAGAGTTGTTCAATCTCCCCTCCCCACCCTGAGAATCACTGACTTACAGAAATGACTGAATGAAAATACACTGAAACAATGTTTTTCAAGCTTGGGGAGTCACAGACCCCTGAGAATATGTTTGCCAAAGCTCCAGAAGTCCACGCACCCCCGTTTGAGGAACATTGCAGAGTCCCACAAGTATTGAGCTCAGTGACCTTCAATGCCAAGGCAATCAGATATATTTGCAGACTCAGGCCATGGAATAACGTGGAAGTATTTGCCTATGACATGGCCATTCAAAAGATCCAAAATGTGGGGCCGGCCCGGTGGCGCACTGGATAGTGCGCCACTTGGGAAGCGCGGCAGCGCTCCCGTCCAAGGGTTCGGATCCCACATAGGGGCCGGCCCGGTGGTGCACCGGATAGTGCGCCACTTGGGAAGCGCGGCAGCGCTCCCGTCCAAGGGTTCGGATCCCACATACAGACCGGCTCCCGCTCACTGGCTGAGCGAGGCGCAGGAGCAACACCGAGGCTTGCGATCCCGTTGCCGGTCCCCGGTCCGGTACGGGGGCAACACTGAGGGTTGCGATCTGTTGCCGGACATGGAAAAAAGACAAAAAAAAAAAACTTGGTAGACACAATTCAAGCTTCAGTGAGTTTGTGGGGGGACATAATTCAATCCACTACACCATGCTTAGAAGATTTTACAGTAAATTTTAATTCTTTCAGATTGTCAGGTGAATTAAAACATAATTTTAAAATTTTGTTTGCCTACCCCATTTTAAGGAACACTGCCCTGAACGGTTATTACTAATTATTCCTAGATGATCTGATTATGGACCTTTCAATTTTTATTTGTCATACTTTTCCTTCTTTGTAATTTTGACTACACTGAATATATGGTACTTTTACCATGTACAAAAATAGTGAAATGACTGATATTCTGATGAAACTCCCTGTTTGTCAGCCTTTCTGGGTTCCGTATGGGCTCGTCCCAGCTACAAGAACAAGCGTGCCTATTGCTACCAATCCATGTCACACACTTGCTCATGTGTTGTCTATGCCTTGTTCCATCATTGATTCAAGCAACAGATAACTTTAGAGCAGCTATGACACCTGCACTGTGTCGGGCACTGGATTACAGCTAGGGAAAAAAACAAAAAATGACAATGGTCCCAACCTCCTGGCTCTTCTGAAGTTTCCCAAGTTTCAGTAAAGATGGGATTATTGGTTTTATTTTTTCATTTAAACTTGAAAGAGTAGTCTTCTTCCCCAAATCCCACCCATCAAACACATTAATGTTTTAAATAATTGTATTCTTGAGAATTTGCTTTGTTCCACTCAATGTAGGAAGCATTTTATGTGTATTCTCTATCTGATAGAATAATGCTTTGAGGTAGGCAGTATCATAATCTCCACTTCGCAGAGAAGAAAAGTGAGGTTTAGCGGAGTTAAGGAAACTAGAGAGATTTTAAAGAACTTGCCCAAAGGGATACAGCCAGTAAGAGCCTGGTTTGCAAACAGGTGATCCTCTCTGCAGCCTGCTTTTAACTATGACAAAGAGGAAAGATAATTCAATAATACATAATATTCAATACAATAATAGTAATATTCAGAAAAAGTACAAAATCATTACCTCCTAATTAAGGCTAAGAATTTGTGTTTGTATTGCGACAAAATCAATTCAAGGAATTTTTTTCTCCAGGAGAACATGTATAATGACATAAATAAAAACTTTTGGCTAATTAGTTTATATGGAAAGTTTAAAAATATTATTGAAAATCCATTAGAAACAACCTAAATCTCAATAAATTATAGATACCCAGAATCTAACCAGAGTGAAATGGCTTGTTAAATCACAGTACATCCTTGTAATATATCACCGTATAGGCATTAAAAATCAGGATTTTGGGAGACTGGTTAGTGTAACAGGAAAATGCTCATAAAATATTGCTATAAAAGAAAAATATGAAATTGTTTAAAATTTTAATGAAATATAAATTATTTTAAATTATGTTTATATATGCATTATGTGGTATTATTCTGATTATATATATTTTCAATTATGCTTAACCAATCATTTATTCACATATATGTGTGCACATACATGGGTGTATTAGTCCGTTTTTGTTGCTTGTAACGAAGTACATGGAATTAGGTGATTTATAAAGAAAATGAAATTTATCGCTTAGAGTTTCTGAGGCTGGGAAGTCCAAAGTCCATCTGGTGCTGGTGACAGTGACCCAGGGGTCTCACATTGCAAGATGGTGGAAGCCTAGAAAGCAAAAAAACCAGATTCTCCTCTTCTTTTAAAGCCCTCAGAACCATGCCCCTGACCACCATTTTTAACCCATTCACTACTGCATGGTCCTACAATCCAATCACCTCTTCAAGGCTCTACCTACCTTTCAATTACCATAATAGGATTTCCCACCATTGTAACAGTCACAGTGGGGGCGAAGTTTCTAACACACAAAACTTGGGGGACACAATTCAAGCTTCAATGAGTTTTGGGGGAACATAATTCAATCCACTACAGTGGGTATATATGTACATACATACACATATGTACACGCATGTATACACACACACAGACACACACACACACACCCCACACAAAGAACTTTACCAAAGTTTTAATAGAGGTCAGCTCTGGATGGTAAGATTATAGATCATTTTTTTTTTTGCTTTTAAAATTTATTTTTAATGATAAATATGTATTACATTTTAATAAGAAAACAATAAATGTCATTTAAAAATACGTGATGTATTTGCTATAATTTATATTTTAAATCCACTGGCACACACACGGTATCATAAGGATTATACCACAATACATAGGTGAAAGTCTTCAAAACATCAATTAATATGAAATTCCTATTGTTTTGATTTTTTTTAAAGGGCGAGGTTGGCCAGCAGGGTCCTCCTGGACCCATCCTCTTGGTAGAGCCACCTGATGTTCATTTCTATAAAGGAGAAAAGGTAATTCCCTAATCCATATGTCACCTTGGTAGAGTGGTAACAGAAAACATTTTCTGAACACGTGTCTGGCAGCCAAGTGCTGAGCACAGTACATGCATCACCATGTGAATCTCAACAGGTTGGCATTATGATTAGCCTCATTGTACAGAGTTGAAAACTGAGGCTTAGAGGGTTACCAGTGTTCTCAAGGTTACCCAGCTGCTGAGTGGCAGACCTAGCTCAAGCTGCTGTATTATGACATGTCCTTCATAATACAGTACCTCATTAATGTTTTGATACATGGGCTGAAAAGATGACTGGAAGCCCAGTTGTCCTTTAGATGTTACAGATGGGTTTGATGTTTTGATCACTGAAAAGGTAACAGATGCATAGAGGTGGGCATGTAATAGATTCTTGGCAAATATGACTTCCTCCGTCAGCCTCCAGCGCTGATATTACCACGCCACGTGGGGGTTCTGTTGTTGCTTTTCAATTACTAGGCTGAATTTCTCTACCTTGCTCAAAATGTGCCACTTCTCTCAGTGGCTACGTTACCAAATGCATTGCTGCCCTGGTTCCAAGGTGGCCCACCACTGTGCCCTGCTGCACCTGAGTAGCGTCAGCTTTATGAGTGTTCTTAGATCTTAGTTGCTAATTAGTGATAGGTGAAGAGTAATTCCTTATTTAAAAAACTAGCAAAACAGGTTGTCAAAAGAGGTGATGTCTGAAGGAGATAAAAAACAATAAAAATAAGCCAGATTATATTCATTGTGATTTTTAGGGTATCAAAGGAATTCCTGGAGTGATTGGACCTCCAGGACCGCCCGGACCCAAGGTAGTTTATTTAAGTAACTTTTTTTTTCTTTATTTGTGTGATGTGCTCTCTTAATTTAAAAATTTATTTTGCATGGCCTTTATCACTGCTTTAAATGTTAATATGTATTACTAGAATTTCTCACTATTTTATCAGAATCCTAAAGGGCTTATATTCTAAAGTAGTTGTTTTCTTTTAGCTGCCAACAATAATTTTTGTTCCTCATTTTGTTTTTGCTTTCCATATTGCTGAATGTTGTCACTTGAACCCCTCTAAATGCTGTCATCTCTTTAAGGGAGAACCTGGGATTGGGGCAAAAGGAGAGAAAGGTGTTCCCGGATTCCCAGGTGCTCGGGTAAGGATCACTGGTCGTTAACTTCAGTGAATTTGGAGGCATTTCTTTTTCATACTTTTATATGACTAGATCAGTACTCCTGTGAGCTCGAAAGAGAATATCTCACATAAGAAAAATATTATTTTTGACAGCAAGAATTGTGTCATAGCTAAATGTCCCAGAGAATCCCTTCCAGTGACGTCTTTTAGATAAAACAGGCAAGCAGAAGACAGAAGAATTGGGGGAAGTAACAGGATTATGACATCCCTTGTCTGGCTCACTGTCCGTGTGATAGTGGCTTAGAATGGTTAATTTAAGCCTGTTTGATAAAACAAGGTGCTGATTTAGGGGTGGTAGCTGGAAAAAAAACACAATGTCAGACCCCAGATGTCACCACACATATCACTAATGGGATGCCCATTTCTAGAGTCACCATGGAGGCCAGATCCCAGCTGGCACAGGTGTTGAGTTTACTTGGCTCTAGGGTAGGTATTGAGTGGAGCGATACTGGCTTCCATGGTCATTTTTATTGCTGGTGATGCACAGAGCAACTATTAATTTCCAGATAAATTATACTGAAGTGATTTCAAAGACATTAGGCCCAGTGCAAGCACTAAGTTAAATAAATTAAAATTGGAAGCACAGCAACAAAAATACATTCTTAAAACACTGGTAATGACATGAATTTTTAAAATAAGACTAAGGATCTATTAAAGTAGCAAATGTTATTTAAAAATGAAATATATTTTATATTTATTTCCTTTTATGCAGCTACCTTTGCAAACAAGACTAAATACTCGTATCCTTGGAACAATCTGATAAGGTGAAAAATAATGCATCGAGCTGGTTCATGCAGTTTGATTTAATTCTGCTTGTATTGATTTTTTTGAATTTATTAGGGTGACCCTGGTTCTTATGGATCTCCAGGTTTTCCAGGATTAAAGGTAAATGTACACTATTATAGAATTGATAAATACATTTTTATTAGTAAATGCAATTCAGCATCATTCAGAAGTTGTACCATTGTATGCACATACAGTAATTGGAAAGGCAGACGCATGCATTTCATAGAATGCGGGATTTAGCTGTGGGTGCAAAAACAGAAGCATAAAAATCCTCATTGCAACCCAAGAGCAGGTTAAAACTTCACACAGAATCTTGGTGATCATGGCATGTGTTGTTCAGATTGAATGATAATGAGATCATTTGTTACCCAATCACATTTTTTTAAAAAGGGCATGTTTGTGCTTGTTTGTAGGGAGAACCAGGAATGGTTGGAAATCCTGGGATGACTGGATTTCATGGCCCAAAGGTAAAAAAAAATGAGCCATTTGAGTATTCCTTATAAAATTTTGTATCTCTTGTTATCTAATTTATTTTCAAGAGTATTTCAAAGAACCATTCCAAAATGTAACTATTGAAAGAGACAGAATTAATTTTTTATTCTTTTTTGTTTAAATTTTGTATATATTATTTTAATAAATGCTTTGCATTATTATGTATGATTATCATATTATCAGATTAAGCATGATTATATTTTACATTTGAGAAAAAATTATTTAGTTATTTTTTGATAGACATATTGGTGGTACATATTTATGGGGTACAGAGTTATAAATACATGTATACTCTGTGTGATGATCAAATTAGGGTAATTAGCATATTTATCATTGCAAAAATTTATCATTTCTCTGATGAGAGCATTTGAACTCTTCTAGTCAATTGAGAACATATAATAAATTATTTTTAGTTATAATCTATAATAATGTAATTAGTTATAATTATAGATGCTACCACTACTGTAGGCCACTAGGACTTATTTTTCCTATCTAGCTGTGATTTTTATACCCAGAGAAACAATCCTTTTGAAGGTGAATAATAATGAAAGCTTTAAAAATTCCATGGGATCACATCGTGTTGAGATTAAAAACAGGGCAGGTGGGGGGCGGGGGTATTGGAGAGCTGTCTGCTTCACCGCCACTAAATTTTTTCTTCTCTTTGTAACATTTGTGAGCTCACATTCAGCACTTGCTCAGGACAAGCCATGCTGGCTTAAGGGGACACAATCAAGGGGTGCAATATTTGCTGCTAAAATAAAATGTAGATTCAGATCTTGCTGGATCAACAAACTATGTCCTAGAGAGTCAAGTTAGACCCTCATAGTATCTAAGAAACATAGTCTACCTAAAAAACGTAATGACTTTAAAGATAACTAATTTACAGGAATGGAATAATTTTGTTGGGGTTCAATTGTTATTTTTCTCTTGTGAGAGCTTTGTCAACTGGCCATTTATTTCTACTTGTAGGTAAGAGATTGGATATGTCTTTATGCTTCTTAGAACTCCACAAATCATTCATTTCTCTTGTCAGCCTATAATCTTTACCTCTTATATGAATGCACATATGGTCCTTCTATTTGTTTAATGTGAGGCAACATGAGTAAAATATTAATATTTCTAAGAGAAGTGAATAAATGAATGATTTCAGGGGGATCCTGGAGACCGCGGACACCCAGGACCACCAGGTGTTTTGGTAACTCCGTCTCTTCCGATCAAAGGTTTGTGTTTCATTCAGATCCTCCATAAATTGTGCAGAAATGGGATTTGAGTGGCCCAGACAGAAGAGCTTGGCTCGGCATTTTCATAGCTTGCACACTAGGCAGGCTGAGTACACGAACTTTAGCACGAGTATTTAATTATACATGTGCAGGTGAGATGTGGTCTTGGCTCATCTCTATCAGCATAAGACAACAAATTGTATTTCAGTCCTTAAACTGTATGCTGGGATTTTTATGATGTCACCTTTCAGAAAGTAGTTTTTGTTTATCTCTAAAAAATCTGTGAAACCATTTGACTAACACCTACCAAGATGATACTGCCAAGAAAAGAACAGCCTAAATCAATGACAAAGAGCTCTGCACTCTCAGATCAGGCAAAAGGGTTTACATCTAAGATATTCCTTTTTTTTTTTTTTTTTTTAAAAGATGACCGGTAGGGCCGGCCCGGTGGTGCACTGGAGAGTGCGCCGCTTGGGAGTGCGGCAGCGCTCCCGCCGAGGGTTCGGATCCCATGTGGAGACCGGTTCCCGCTCACTGGCTGAGCGTGGTGTGGGCGCAACACCACGGGTTGCGATCCCGTTACCGGTCAGTAAAAAAAGACAAAAAAGGGGCCAGCCCGGTGGCGCACTGCTACAGTGCGCCGCTTGGGAGCATGGTGGCACTCCCGCCGAGGGTTTGGATCCCACATACAGACCGGTTCCCGCTCACTGGCTGAGCGAGGTGCGGGCGCAGCACCGAGGTTTGCGATCCCGTTGCCGGTCCCGGTCTGGTACGGGCGCGACACTGAGGGTTGCAATCCAGGGTTTGGATCCCACATACAGACCGGTTCCCGCTCACTGGCTGAGCGAGGTGCGGGCGCAGCACCGAGGTTTGCGATCCCGTTGCCGGTCCCGGTCTGGTACGGGCGCGACACTGAGGGTTGCGATCCGTTGCCAGACACGAAAAAAGACAAAAAGGAAAAAAAAAAAAGATGACTGGTAAGGGGATCTTAACCCTTAACTTGGTGTTGTCAGCACCATGCTCAGCCAGTGAGCAACCGGCCATCCCTATATGGGATCTGAACCCAGGACCTTCGTGTTATCAGCACCGCACTCTCCCGAGTGAGCCATGGGTCGGCCCCTAAGATATTCCTTTTTAAATGTGGCAAGAAACTGCAAAAGAATCTCCTAATTATACTTTATTGAGCTTCCCAAAAAGTAATTGTGTCTGTATTTTTAAATGTATGTATACATTTGTTTATTCACATGTGTCTATTTTTGGCAGGTCCTCCAGGGGACCCAGGGCCTCCTGGCCACTATGGAGAAACAGGGGCTGTTGGACCACCTGGTCCCCCTGGTCCCTTGGGCAGGCCAGGAGAGGCGTGTGCAGGTACGAATCCACTGGCTTTTACATGCCAGATTTCCTACACCATCATCCACACCAGCAGCTCTCAGCTCTAGGTGATTTGAAATCACATTAGGAGTGTTTAAAAAATACCGATGCCTGTGCTCATCCCAGGCCAAGAATGTTAGACTCTCTAGGGGATGGGCTATTGTAAAAGCATCCCTGTATTTCTAATGCACAGCCTGGGTTAAGAACCACTGAACTCAAATCAGTGCTGGTTCATCAGCTGCACCTCAGAAGTATTCAGTTAATATCGCAGAGATATTGTGAGGAATATGTACGTATAACAGGCCTCCCCCAAGATGATCACATGCAGATAAGATTTGGAAACCGCTGCTAGGGCTGAGGGTTCTCTCATGTTTCTCCACCCTCCCAGAAGGCTCTCCCTGCTGACATCTGCTTGTAAAATTGAGTTCATAAATCTAGGCCCCAACTTAAATCTCCCACATGAAATGTGGAAATAAAAATTATGATTCAGCTTTGACAGAAAAGGCTCCTCTCCTCCAAAAAATCAAAAACAAAAACAGGAAAACTACAGGTCACAGTGACATTTGATATAAAGCCTGGAAAAGAGTCCTGTTGACGTAAGGACTTTGAACTCCTTCAGATGCTGTGCTGGGGAATACTCTTGGTAAGATTAGAGGATATTTGCATTCCATGAACCCAGGAGAACTGATTAAATCTGTGAGAAGAAAAGTCTTGAATAAGTGTAATTTTTCTGGTCTGTGTTTCTTGTTATATTTACCAAGAAGGATTAAGAAGTTTCCTGAGATATTCTGCTGCTAGCTACAGAATTCTTATTTAATCTCCCACGAATCTAGCTTCCACTTTGTGGGATCTAGCAACCACAAAGGTAGAAAAACTTTGTCTGGTTCATGTAATTTTTAGGTAGTGTAGCCTTGGTTTAATTGGCCCAGGATTATTTAAGTCATATAGAGTATTTTGTCATCAGAAAGCACTAGTCTCTGGTCTTAGATTTCTCCTTTTGGGCTTGTTTATAATAAAATAGTGCCTCTAGCAGATTGAAATCAGATCCTAACGGGAGTAAGAAACGAGTGTGTCCAACAGATTCAAAGCCAGATATGCAGGAAGCTCCTTAATTCCACATGCTTTTTAAAGATGAATTAACCTAGTGACTTTCAAATCTTGACTATGACCCATAGTAAGAAATGCATTTTATTTTGTATCACATTTATATTATATTACACGGACATATATATGTACCCACATATACAGATGACTGAAACTCAAATTTCACAAAATAATACCTTTCTGGTATATGATGCCCTCTATTTTTTAATTTCATTCTTGTCTTTTGAAAAAAAAATTAATTCTGGCCACAACCCCATTGATTTCATGCTGTGCTATTGAGTGGTCAAGGCTGTAATATGCCATATATTGTAACCCATACTCCCTGTGGGAGATGGTTAAGCATCTCCCTGGCCTGAGCACAAGACTTCAGGCAGCATCCCGGTCCATCCTATGACTGTAGAATCCAAGTCCAGTTTTAAGAATGGCATGAAGATAAGGTGGCAGCCAAATCTACAGGGGCACATTTTTATTCTGTTCTGAGTACACCAGTGTATATAGTCCTTATTATACATATTTTATTTGGTAATTATCTATAATATTTGCTATGGGATAAACAGGGTTTTGGAGTCAGACACTCATAGTTGAATCCCAGCCTTGCCATGTATGGAGGCCACATAGTACTTGTAATGAAATATACTCAAGTTTTCACTATTCTGTTAGTTCATTTTTGTTGCTTATAACAGAATACCTGAAAGTGGGTAATTTATAAAGAAACAAAATTTATTTCATACAGTTCTGGAGGCTGAAAAGGTCAAAGTTTAGGAAACACAGCTTGTGAGAGTCTTATTCTGGGTGGTGACTGTTCACGGTAAAGCAAGGTATCACATGGCAAATGGCTGGGCAGGAGAGCGCTCACCTGCTCACTCGCCCTCCTTACAAGGCCGTCAGAACCACACCCATGACTACCCATTAAACCATCAATGGATTAATCCATTCACATGGGTACAGTCCTCACAGTCTAATCACCTCTTAGAAGGCCCCACCTTTCAATTACCACAATAGGATTTCCCACCCTCTTATCACTGTTACAATGAGGATCAAGTCTCCAACACTTGAACCTTTGGGGGACACGTTCAACCCACAGCAACTATGAACTAGAAACATTTCAGTTTCTACTACTTACAAGCTGTGTGATCATGGGCATTTATTAAACCTCTTTGTCCTTAGTTTTTTCATCTGTGAAATGGGATCTTGTTAGAGTTGAAAGAAGTAATACGTATACAGTCCTTAGCATCCTGGCATATAGTAAGGACTCAATATGTTAGCTATTATTATCATTACTGATATTTGGCCTAAACTTTCTGTGTCTTATCTGTAAGGCATAACTTTGCAGAGTTGTTTGAGGAGTAAAGATTGTGTTCATAAGCATATGTGAAGTCCCAGAACATATGCACATAATAATGATAGCCGTTAATTTAACTTGCATGCTGCATTACTGATTTCCGACAGGGTTTCAGTTGTCTGTTGCTGAACAAATTACCCAAAACCTAGAGGTTTGAAACAACAACAGTCAGTATGCCACCCCTCACTCTCCTTAGGTTCAAGAGTTCAGGAAGGTCTAAGCTGAGTGATTCTGGCTCAGGGATTTTCACACTGCTGCAGTCACATAGGAGCTGGAACTGGAAGATGAGGCTTGGCCAGGCAGCTCTCTCCTGTGTCTCTCGTGTGGTCTCAGAGTCTCTCTTTATGGGCTCTGTACTGCCTTTGGGCTTCCTTCCAGCATGGCGGCTGCAGAGCTGTGAGATTACTTATATGGTAGCTCAGGACTCCAGTCCCAATTGTTGCAGTTCACGAGGCAGAAAATGCATCACCTTTTCTAATGGCCACATTCAAGGGGAGGAAATGCTGCACCTCTTGATAGGGAGGCGCCAACATTCTATAAGAGCACTAGGGACAAGCACTCCTGTGGTGGCCATCTCTAAAAACTGCAATCTTCCACAGACAGACTCTGGAACCAGACATGCTCACTCCCACACAAAGGCTTCTAGCTGTCTCTAAGCCAAAGACACTGGCAAGGGGAGTGGGATGTCAGGGGAAGCAGGATGTATCTGCTGTTGTGTTACTTGTTTTGACCTCATCAGAATACACTGAACATATGAACATTCATTGTGTATGTGCTATTGCTAGATATTACACTGAGCCGCTTATGTGGATTATTTTATTTAATCCTCATAACAAGCCTATGCGGTAGATCCAGAGGACCCAATGAGTTAAATAACCTACTTAAGCTCTCATGGGTAGAGAGGTGAGGCCAGGCTCCAATCTGGCACCTCTCTGCTTCCCCACCAACCTGGGCTGTAAAGAAAGGGGAGGTATTTTATGCCCCATAGATGATTATGTGAGTCTATATTTTTATCCAGTAAATGTGCTACTATGTTTATTCAGATTATTATTACCAAGTTCTCGTGATGGAAGATTGAAAAAAATAATAATTTTAATTAAGTAAAATATATTTCTTTCCCAGTAACCATAAAGAATGGGAGAAAATGTATGAAAATCTGATTCCCCAAATCTGTTTGTTTCCACCTGTGTGCTTGTTTGAAAGGAGGTGAGGCATTCTGATGGCTGGGCTATTCAGTTATTTTTGAGCTACATTGTTTTCCTTTTTTAAATTTAATGTAGTTTATTCAGATTACTGTGATATAACTACTACTTTATACCTAGTAATCTGCTTTGTGAAAAAGCAGATTACTTTTTAGAGGATTCTTATTTTTTCTTCTACTTTTTCTGACCACTGTCATCTAGAGCAGTTTTATTTAAACAGTTCTATTGAGATGTCATTGACATATAAAAACTGTGTATATTTAAGGCGTACAACTTGATGCTCTGATATATATATATATATATATATATATATATATATATATATATATACATTGTGAAATGATCACCACATCTAGCTAATTAACATACCTGTCACCTCTACGTAGTTGTGTGTGTGTGTGTGTGTGTGTATGTGTGTGTGGTGAGAAGACTTAATTTAAGATCTATCCTCTTAGCAAATTTCAAGTACACAGTACAATATTGTTAACTGGAGTCACCACCCTGTACATTACATCTCCAGAACTTATTCATTTTGCATAACTGAGACTTTGTACCCTTTGACCAACATCTCCCCATTCCCCTCACCCCCAGCGCTTGGCAACCACCATTCCACTCTTTGCTTCTATGAGTTCACCTTTTTTTAGACTCCACATGTAAGTGAGATCATGTAGTATTTAAGTTTGACTTTTTTAGATTCTGCACATATGTGAGATCATACAGTATTTCTCTTTCTGTGTCTGGCTTATTTCACTTAGCGGAATGTCCTCCAGATCCATCCATTTTCCTTCAAAAAAATCCTCGACCTAAGGAAGAATGATTTTGATTTCTTCTACAGAAATGCTTATTCTGAAAGCATATATGGTTTTCATTCTTGATTTCTCTTGCAGGCATGATGGGACCCCGTGGGCCACAAGGGCTTCCTGGTCATCCAGGGCTTCCAGGGGCAGCCGGGATTCCTGGAAGACCTGATTCTGCTCCAGGAAAACCAGGAAAGCCAGGGCCACCTGGCCTGCCTGGAGCACCAGGGCTGCAGGGATCCCCAGGATCAGATGGTAAAGTGCTCCTCATTCACATTCGTTAGCATTTATGTTGCATTCGACATTTGCAGTGTCATTCAGAAAGTATAACTTTCTAAGTATTTAAAAAATTATGTATATTTCTTGAGCCAACTTAGTAATATTGAAATGCTTTTACAAATAAGTAAACTGAGGATGGACTATCACATCAATTAAAGTATGTGCAATTATTCGGTTGAGAGTTTTAAGTGTGAATGATAAAATTTTGTAAATTAATACAATTTTTATTTTAAAATGTAGTTTTTATTTTTATCAGAGTTTTATATGCACCTGCTTTAAGAGTCAAACTGTTCTCTGAGGACTGTTATAAAGAATCACAATCACAGGAGACCTCTTCTCCTATTCCTTCCTCCCCAGAGGCAATTATTTCCACGCGTGTAGCTGGACATTGTGTTATTTGCTCCTATATTGACATTCAATAGACTTGTATCGCTATTTCTTAATTTTTCAATTTCAGCAGTATTTTTTGACTTCCCTTACATAAGAAGAATTTAATTTTTTTACTACCCCCACACCACACGTGCACATTTTCCACTCCCATGACCTATCAATAGAGTTATTATCATGATTTTGGCTAAATAAATATTCAGTGTTTACACTGAATGGTTATGTAAGTGCTCAGCTGGTGAACAGCACATGTAATAGTACATATCATTACTTTTGCAATACAGCATTTTGTAAATAATTGTCTTGTTTTCTTTGTGTGTTTGCTTGGTTTTCAATATACTTACTATAAATTTAACCTGAAACTACCCAGAATTGTGTAAATCTCATTATTATACGCTCTAACTCCTTAATATTCTACCAGCATTATCTTTTTTAATAAATCTCTCCTGGTGCTTCTTGACCAAATTAAGTCAGGTTGCACTTAATTTCTTGCCGAGACACTATCTTGAAATCTTCTTTCACCATTACCTTCGTTCTCTCTCTCTCTCTCATTTCCTTTTTCTCACAGCTCAAATATTTATTTCAATAGTCTACTCCTTCATTACACTTTCTGAGAAAGGGTGTAAGTAAGAGGGTAAACTTTGGGGATCTTACTTGTTGGAAAATGCCTTTATTCTACTGTGAATTTGAATTGATAGTCTGGCTGAGTATAAAATTCTAGGTTGGAAATCTTTTTCCCTTTGGCTTTTGAACACATCTTCTATTGTTTAATAGCTTCCAGCATTGCAGCAGAGAACTCCAATAATATTTAGATACTTGACCCTTTGTTTGAAATCTATTTTCCTTTCTGGAAGCATAGAGGAGATTTTCTTTGTTTTTTACTGTCCTAAATTTTACAATAAATTGCCTCTGTGTGGGTACATTTGCATTTGCTTGCAGACACTCAGTGGGCAGTTTTAATTCAACACATAATCTTCATTCCTGGAAAAATTTCTTGAAGTATTTATTTGAAGACACTCTTTCCTTTATTTTTTCCCCCTTTTACTTCTTTCTGAACACTCTATTAATTTGTCTGTTAGAAAACCAATCCCACATCTCTATTTTTTTTTTTTTTTAACTTTTATTCTTTGTTTTCCATAACACTTTCTGGGAGTTTTCCTCAGATCCATCTTCCAGCTTTAACTCCAGATTTTTAAAATTTCCACTATCTCTCTTTTTCTCTTTTTTTTGGATGCTGGCCAGTACAGGGATCTGAACCCTTCACCTTAGTGTTATAACACGGTGCTCTAACCAGCTGGGCTAGCTGGCCAACCCTGTTATTTTCTTGTAATGTTTCCTTTTGCAGCAGCCTGTTCATGTTTCAGGGGTGGAACACCCTCCCTCTTCTACTATTTTAATGGTATGGTTTCTTTCAACGTTTTCTTCATGCTACATTGTCCGTTTGCTCCAGTTTTTTTGAGTAGCTGTTGTTTTTTTCTGCTGCAGTTTCAAGAAGAGGATCTTCTGGTCTGTTTTTTTTTTTCTTTTCTTTTCTTTTTTTTTTTCAATATAAATTGGGTTCTTTTTCAGCTTTCCCTGCTACTTAGAAGTCAGCTTTCTTAGGGTCTGCTAAGTCTCTTTACATTTTTCTTCCTGTTGGTTCTCCCATTTTCTTTGTCCTATGGGCTTATTCCTTTTTATAATATATATTTATAATATATATATATATATATTTTTTTTTACTGTCTTTTATTCTACTGGGATTTTAGGAAAATGAAGAATTTATTGTTTGCATTTCATTTGTCATCTTTAACCAGATGTCTCCAAATTTTTGCTTTCATAAGCCCTGCTTCGTGCTTTCTTCCTTGGCTAGTGATTGATAATTAAAGGGGGCAAAATATTTGCCATTCACTGACTTGGGTTTTTTTTATGTGTTTTATTTTGGTATGCTGTTTGTTTTGTTGTCAATTACCTTGTTCTGTAATTCACTATCTTAGGGCTGAGATTAGGGACGTTTTTAGTAGCAGAAGCATGCCTTGACAATTGGATGGTTTTTATGTGTGTATATTCTCATGTTACAGAGGAAGAATCCTAGGAAAAGAATGGAACAAAAAATGGGGCTGGGTGGGGAAGCACAGAGGGGAGAGTGCAGGAGACACTCGTTCTGTAGAAGACATTCACCAGGGCCTGCCCGGTGGCGCACTGGTGGCGCACGCGGCGGCGCTCCCGCCAAGGGTTCGGATCCCATGTGGAGACTGGTTCCCGCTCACTGGCTGAGCTTGGTGCGGGTGCAACACCGAGGGTTGCAATCCCGTTACCGGTCAGTAAAAAAAAAAAAAAAAAGAAGACGTTCACCAAAGTTATGTGTTTCCTCTGCCCATCCCCAACCCAACATACAGTGATACATTGTAGTGTTGGACGTCCTGGACTGCAAGGAATAAAAGGCAAAGTGGGCCCTCCAGGAAGAAGAGGCTCAAAAGGAGAAAAAGGCAAGTATGCATCAAAGGTAGAATTTCTAGAAGACAGCCACATATGGAGGACTGGGGCATTCATGAGACGTGCGATGTGGCATTTCATTCAGATTTACCACCTTAGTTCCACTATGAGTACTCCACTTTATAATGCGCTACGATGGGATTAAAAGTTACCGAAGAGTCAAATCCTATATCTTAGAGTAAAAAGGAGACACTTACCTGCCATGAAATTTACCTCAAAGTGGTGTCTTTGATCACAAGGGTCCACTTGATCCCTCGAGATAGGACAGAATTGATATTTTATTTAAGTATCTCTCTGGGGGACCCATACTTCCCAGACTTATAAAATGCCTATGGCTCTGTGCTTCTCCACTCTAAATTGTCTGGAGCCTTTTTGAGCAACTAAATCAGGTGGGTATGAGAGCCTAAGCACGACTGAGGAGTGGTACTATCCTAAAGACATTTTTTAAAGACTGAAAGTCCTGATAATTAGAGAATGCACTGCAGTGAATTATCAGTTGAAATAGGCAATGCAGTCAATAATCCCTCTTCATGGATTATTTTGTTTTCTTAATTGTTCAGGATTTATGCTCTAACCAATGTATTTTTTTAGTGTCTTCAGTAGAATCAAGAGACTTTTAAACTTTTTAAAATAAAGTTTTCTTATTTTTAAAGTTTCTTCAGTGGAATTGGACATCAGCTTTCCCCACAGAATTTGTCAGCATGAGTTTATAAAAGCAGAAAATACTCCACTTGTTTAGGAGCAATATAACCAGCCCACACTGACCACGCCTAAGGACCCCCACGCCATGCCCGTGCTACATCCCAGCCCCCACATCGCGTATTATCCATTGTCTGTGATAAGAACTGTACACATTTGTTTTTCACTTGTGCTACTGGTTTTGGATAGTAAAGCCCTTCCTAGGGATTTTATTCAGGAAATAATGACAAGTCTGCTTTTATTCTCTGCCTAGGAAATGAGGGACTCTGTGCCTGTCAGCCCGGTCCCAGGGGTCCCCCTGGCCCTCCAGGACTTCCTGGGAGGCAGGGGAGCAAGGGAGACATGGGGCAGCCTGGCTGGCTTGGAGAAAAAGGTGACCCAGGCTCTCCCGGTGTTGAAGGATCTCCAGGGCCACCAGTGAGTAACTACTCCCAGTCACAGTCTTTCCACTTGAGAGGACAGGTAGAGATAGAATTCAGTGTGCCTCTTTCTATTGAGAGTCTGAAATATATCTTATGTTTTGAACCTATAAACATATTAATAACTAAAAAAACTCCTGTATTCATTCATTCACCCACCCATCCATCATTCATTTATTCAACTAATTAATATATACTGAGTGCCTGCTATGTTCCAGGCACTGTTCCAGGTGCTGGGGATACAACAGGGACCAGAACACAGTCTGTGCCCTCCTAGAGCTTCAGAGATGATGCAGAGCATGTACCAGCTGAACGAGTGAATGTGCAGTATGGCAGATGGTGACAAAGGCCATCGCCATGTCGTGTGGCTGGAGTGGGAGAGAATGAGTGGCGGGGCAGGAGAGATGAAGTCAAGGAAAGGGCTTGGAGGTGGCCGAGCGGGGGCCCGTGCAGGTAGGTCAGATTGGAGCTTTTACCTTGGAGGCCATGGAACAGGCAGGGAGAGTTTTAAGAAGAGAGAGACCTAATCCGACATTAGTTTTCAATCTCTCCCTCGCTCTGGTTGCTCTGTGGAGAACAGACCTTAGGGACAAGGGAAGAAGCAGAGGGATTTGCTGGCAGGCTGCTGAGGAACCCTGGTGAAATATAACGGAGGACACACAAGTGCAGCAGGGCTGGGCACTGTGGGCGGTGGGCGGATTCTGGATGCATTTTGAAGATAGAACCAACAGATTGGTGGTTAGATTGAATCTAGGGTACAAGAAAAAGAGAAGTACAGGGCAGAGCTGAGGCTTTTGGCTTGCGCCATCTGGAGGAAGCAGCTGCCATGTGCAGGGACAGGGAAGACGACAGAAGGAGGTGGCACTGGGCGGGGAAAGGAAGCAGTTTTGTTCGGGACATCTTAGGGTGGGGGTGACTGTTCGACCCACGAGTTGAGATACTGAGTAGGCGGTGGGATGATGTTCAACGTAAGGATTCAGCTGAGAGGTCCAGGCTGGAGATAATGGCTTTGTCAGAGTTTATGTGATATTTAGTGCCAGAGTGGATGAAATTGATCTCAAAATGGCACCCATCTGCTGATGGTTACAAAAGACTCAGGTTGAGGCACAGCCTTTCAGCAGTCAGGTCTCTCAGAATAAAATCACTGCCCACTGGGGGCACTCCTCTGGGGGCCAGAGACAGCCGTCTGTCCCCTCCTTATGAAAGAGGCTTAATCCTAAAATGACCTGGGGCCTAACCATCAAGTTCAAAAGGACTCTTTTCCATTTTTCCCAGGAAATATCATGAGAATAAGATTCCAATCTGAGGGCCTTAAGTGAAGGTGACGATGAAGGTGTCCCCACACCATTCTCGTCACATGCACTAACTTGCAAAATCTACTCAACAGAAAGCTGGGTCCTTAATGCATGTACGTTGAATGAACATGGGTGCAATTATTAAGTAGTTTGTATTTTATAGTCTGCCTTTTTAATTCTATATTTTATTATAGTCATTTTTTATATGTGGTTATTTAATCTTAATGAAGATTTTCATAGCTCTCAAATGTTTTTGTCGATTTCTATTGAATTGCTTCGGAGGACTGACTTCTTTGAGTGTGAATTACTCGTTCATTCGGGGTTGTCACAGATAAGGTTTACTTAATTCAGTCGCTCTAGGACTTACCTCTTTGGAATGGCTGCATTTTTGATGTCTTCATTCTTTATACGATTCTGTCCCTATGACTTCTCTGCATTAAATTCATCACACTGTGGTCACAGTCAGGAACCAGGATCACACCACTGGGCACTGAAAGAAAAGAGAAGGAGAGAGGAAAGGACAGACAGAAGACAGAATCAGAGACAATCCCTATTGGGTACTTTCAGTCCTCTCTATATCTGTCATCTGCCAATACCTGGCTCTATCAGCCACAGATTGGTAGAAAAGTAGAAAACAGAAAGTGGGCATAAATTTCTTGCAATTTTTTCTGAATGAACCAAGTCTTTGTATTCATTGCCTTAGCCTGAGGTCTCTCCCTAGGATGGGGCTTCCCACTTAGACACTGCAGTGCAAGCCACTAGGGCCTGGGAGCAAACGGACCCCGCTTCATACTCCATCTCTCGTGTCTGGGAGCTCTGCAGCCTTTTTCAGGGGCAGCTGTGTCATTTGTAACAGCGCTCGTCTTATAGGTTTGTTGGGAGGAATTTGATTCAGTCATGTATGTTGAGAACTGTAAGGTACACACTAATGAACAAACCAGCTGGTAGGAATTCAATTCAGTCATATGTTTTGAGAACTGTAAGGTACACACTAATGAACAAACCAGTACACACTAATGAACAAACTGCCCCCGAGGTGTCTGCAGAGTAAACCAAAGGTCAGAAACTGTCCCAGGCTAACTCTGACCTGCTGGATTGTTTGGTTGTGTCCTCACAGTGTTCATTTTTGTTTATCAACATGAGATTCCTGGCTTCCCTTAAAAAATTGGAAGTTCATGAACACAAGGGTAATGCAACACCACCGCCGTTGGGGCTGTGTCTGTCAGGGTGGCTGTGCCTGGCGGGGGAGGCCTGGGCATTCAGTCCCCACCGTGCCCACCCACCGCTTCCCTTGGACAGGTGCAGCCCTTGTGAGCATCAGAGGTTGAAGTTCCTGGTCTAGACCATGTAAAAAACAACTAAAATATGCTGGCAGAGAGGAATTTTTGTTGCTCTGGGCTTTTGTTGAGTTAACACAGTGTTTAGTGATCTCGGATCTAACAATTGGGAAAAGTAGCTCTTGGTCCCAAAGCTGCTGAGAACCTTTGCCCCAGCAATCTCTTTAGTTAAGTATATGTTTAACCTGAGTCTGATGGTCTTGCTAGCTGTTGTATCCTCAGTATTCAGAGTAATGCCTGGTACGTTGCAGGTTTTCAGTAAATGTTTCTTTAACCAAGTCCAAAGACAGCACTGGTAATTTTCTTTTTCTTACTAGCTCCTATGTGTCTCTGATCTGACTCTAGGACTTGAAATTCTTCACGTACAGAGTGTTAGAGCAATTCATAATACATTCTAAGTCTCCAATGCGCTGAATACTACACTGCTCAGACTCCCAGTGTGTGTTCATTCTTCCAGGTACCAGGGTCTTGTTTATTGAACACACCACTGCCTGCTGTATACATTTTTGGTTTCTCCTTCATGGTTACTGCTTGATGCTGCCTTTGTGCTTATCTTGATGAGTACCTCTCCTCCCCTTCAGAGCTCACAGCTGATAAGTTAGCAGAGGCCAGCTAAAAAGACATTTAAGCTTGTTTGAACACATTCTTAGATTGTGTGAAAATAAGGCAGGCAGCAGCATCTGTGCGAGCAAAGCAAATGGTCTGCTCAGTTATTTTTACCTCTTTGCATTTTTTCTTGACTGTGTTTTTTTGATTATTGAGGTCACTAGATGAGTATCCTGAAACTGTATATAGTGTTTTTATAACAGTAGTTGATATGACGCTGGGCCACTCCAGTACACCAACCGTAGATTTCCATATTTGACATGGTTTGATATTCAATAATATGCAACACTTAAAAAGTGACTCAAATAGTCTAGTCTCAGAGTAGTGTTGAGGCTGAAAGATGATGAGCCTATCAGCCAAAAGGAGTTGTTTACGTGCTGTACAGAGAAATGTGTTGACCTCAGCAAGGCCCTTATTACCCCTTCTCTTGCTCATCACCCTTTCTTAACATCACATTATTTCTATCCTCTTTCATCACAAACTTATCTAGAAATCTCTACCTTCAGCTCTAGTGGCAGCTCTTGTGTAACCACCCTCCTCTTTCCTCCCAATTTTGCATTACAAAGCCCAAGATAATAAAAAAAAAATTAATTGCAAGTTTTTTTTTTTTTTTTTCCTTTTTGTCTTTTTTTCGTGACCGGCAACGGATCGCAACCCTCAGTGTCGCACCCGTACCGGACTGGGACCAGCAACGGGATCGCAACCCTCGGTGCTGCGCCCGCACCTCGCTCAGCCAGTGAGCCGCCAGTCTGTATGTGGGATCCGAACCCTCGGCAGGAGCGCCGCTGCGCTCCCAAGCCGCGCACTGTAGCAGTGCACCACTGGGCCGGCCCCAGAACATTTTTATTTTTTATTTATTTATTTATTTATTTATTTTCCTTTTGTCTTTTTTACTGACCGGCAACGGGATCGCAACCCTCGGTGTTGCGCCCACACCGCGCTCAACCAGTGAGCGGGAACCGGTCTCCACATGGGATCCGAACCCTCAGCGGGAGCGCCACCGCGCTCCCAAGCGGCACACTCTCCAGTGCGCCACCGGGCCGGCCCTAATTGCAAGTTTTTATTTGAGATAGTTGAAGACTCACAGGAGGTTGCACAATCATACAGAGAGTTCTCATGCACCCTCACCCAGCTTCCCCCAGTGATAAGTGACAGGACCACAGCACAGGGCCAAAACCAGGAAATGGTCACTGATACATTTCTACTAACTCAGATATGGACCTTATTCAGATTTCACCAACTTTTACAAGCAGGTCAAGAGCCTCAATTTTGTAAGGTCGGACCACCTTGGAAGGCCAAGTCGGAATCTTTAATGAGATTTAGGAGGGAAGAAGAGGGAGATGAGATACTCATGCAGGTGAGTAACTTTTGACCCATCACAATCTAATTTCTCCCTCTTATTTTTCACCAAGGGAAAACCCGGTGCCTCAGGACCACCTGGCAACAAAGGAGCAAAGGGCGACCCGATTGTATCAAGAGTTAAAGGTGAACACGATCAATCACTTAGCTCCCTGCCATTTTATGAATGATATGTGGACTGTCCTCTTGCGTTAATTTTTCCTGTGACCACAGATCAATCCTATATAACTTAAGATTGATGAGATTGGTTAAAAAGTACTCCCTGCCCTTCATAGAGTCATATGAATGTCCAGCCTCAAATCCTGTCTCTTATTTGAAAACATTAATGCTCTCTCCGTCACATATTCAAATCCTCATTGGAGTAAACTTGGGTTTGCAACAAGACCTCCTTTGACTTGCCTAGTGGTTATTCCCTACATTATAGTATCCTATATTAATCAAGAATATTTTAGTTGTAACAGAAACCCAGCTGAAAGTCATTTAAGAAAAAAAATTTATTGATAGATAAAATGTGAAAAGTTAGATGCAGGGTTTGCACTGGGACACCAGGTCTAGGGCCTCGAATGGCATCAGGATACTCTGCTCTCCCTGAATCTTTCATCTTTCAATAGACCATCTGCATTTTCTCCTGTCACACTGCATTTCTCTGAACTCTGGGGTACATGCCCCCAGGCATCTCCAAGTTCTTACAACCAGAGATGAAGAGAGCTCTACTTTTCCAGCTCCAGTTAGAAAAATAATTCCAGAAAGGACTGATAGCTCAGGGCAAGTGCCCAATCACGGACCAGCCCCCCATTCACTATATGTCGGGGGATGGAGTACCATGTTTGGCATCACATGGGCAGAGGAGGATTCTGAGATTAGCACTTCCACACACCACTTCCTTGTTGGAATGGGAAAAAGAGCCTTTCCCACATAAAGAGATTCAGTGGGTTTGGCAATTGTCACTGTCCTGTTTGGCCTTGGCATAGTCTCTGACTTTGGGCAACTGAGACCTCAGAGGAAACTCTACCTACCCACACAGAGTCAAGGCCATTGTCTTTATCTTTAGTCCTCTGTTTCCCTCTACTTCACCCCTGCTGATAAGATCTCAACTATCTTTTGGCCTCTATTCCCAGGGCAGAAAGGAGAAAGAGGTCCTGATGGGCCCCCAGGAATTCCAGGGCAGCAGGGACTACACGGTCGGGATGGACATGCTGGAGAAAGAGGGGATCCAGGACCCCCAGTATGTATAATTCTTCTTCTGCTATAGAATTTTATTTTCTTATATGGCCACTCAGGCATCTATTTTCCCCTTCTACCAAACTGGAATGCAGTGAAGTGTCACTGTGCTGTAAATCAGAGTCAACCGTTGCTCATTGCCACCAAAAGAAGATTGTTATCAAAGGTACGGCCTAACTGGAGATTGTCTAAAATCCTCTGTGGCAGTTCAGTCATGGCAAGACTTTCTGCCTAGTCTTTGTATTACTCTGGTGGTGTTTATTTCTTTCTAGGAGCCTTGTATCTTACAAAGCCCCCACTGATCTTAAGTCTGTTGAGTTGACTTTGTAGGGTGGAGGATAGAGCACAGGTCCCTATAATTAGCTTCAGTTCTCTTTCCTGGTGAAGAAGCACACGTGAGAAGGTGTCAAGCAAGAAAGGATGAGCTAGTGCAAATCCACTGAACTGACATATTGGTTGGTGGTAAATCCCACTGATAAATGATATTTGTCCATTTTTCAAATGTTTTGGGTAGACACCATGTGTAGGTAATGAAGGTCATAGGAAAAAGAACATGAGACATGATCCAGTGCTTAGGAAGTTAAAGTATCTTGGGTATGTAAGGTATTTTTGAATGCTTACAACATCACGGAAACTGGGCTAGATGTTTTAACAGTAGTCTTCTGAAGAGCAGTTATCTTCCCAATTTTACAGTAAGGAAATGGAGGCTTAGGGTGTGTTACTCAAGGTTACCCATGCATTGATTGGGCTAAACAGGAGAGAAATCTCCAGTCTGTCTTATTCTAAAGTGAATGCTATTTCTACCAGACTGTGCTGCCTGCCATGTGCTATGAGAAACCATTTAGAGTGTTGTAATAGGGACAGACCACGTTCTGATTTTATGGGAATTCCTTCAGACAGAATACTTGTGAACAAGAGACGGAAGCTTGGGAATTGGGTTAGATGTTGTTTATAGCTTTCTGGCCTTTATAGCTGGTGTCACATATATGAATGATCTCTGCTATAGGTTTGGTAATCTTTGCTTAATTCATTCTTCCACTGAAGAAACTTTAGAAACCAGTGTCACTGAATGGTAATTGTCATACTGTACTCACCTAACTTTAAAAACCAAAGTATGTTTACAGATCAAATTGGAAGAGGAATTTCTACAGCACCCCCTGGAGCTCTTCCTAGATTTGTTGAAACAATTCAGACCCATAAGACTATCATAGACCACATTTGGGGCCAGGGTACTCAGACGAATAGAAGACAGGACCCCCAATGTGCCAGCAGGGCAGGGCAGCGTCAGGTGTTCCTCATCTCTGAGAGTTCTCACAGCTGTTCCTTCTGTTGGGGTGCAGAAGATGAGATCCACATGTGGCAAATGTGAGCACAGCCCTGACTTGAAAGCCTCAGCAGCTGTTATCGCTTTTGGTGACGCAGTATGGGGCTTGCCGGTTACTGGAGACACAACTCAGGGAAGCCCCAAGGAGGGTTCCCCCCAGGTCTTTATAGTCCTTCCAGAGCAGATGCAAATTTTGCAACCAGGGATCTATATTACTGTTAGCTATGTTGCCTAGGAATGTAGCTGATGATCTAATTTTTATCAGGTTTCCAGAAGAACAGAGCTAGACAGCTAACGAAAGGTAAAATTTTCATGCAGGAGGGGAAAGGATTTGATACTCCTTTACCCACAGATGTGGAGGGTGATGGAGTCTATCCATTTACCATCTCACAAGAATGCAAGAGAACAATTTCAAATACATATGAACTTAAATAAATAAACTTAAAAAAATACATAAGAACTTCTTCAATCTGTGAGCTTGCGACCTCTCTTGATTTACTCATTTCTATATTTCATGATATTTAATAATAGAGAGTAGTTCTACATAAAATTTCATATTCTGTATTTAATGCAAAAGATTTATTCACTCTGAACAGAAACCAAAGGATCTTATTCTGTATTTGAGACATAACACACGCAACTGTATCATATATATGCATGTAAATATCATAATATGCATGTAGAATATTAAGAATAATCTGAGCTAATAATTTTAAATGACATTTGCTGCAGAGTAACTGCCTCCTGGAATCTTCGTATAGCCTACAATGACTGCTTTGAGTTCATGGACTTTCAAAGATTGGCAATTGATTCATGACATAAATATTTCCAGGGGGATCATGAAGATGCAGCTCCAGGTGGTAAAGGGTGTCCTGGACCACCGGGCACCCCAGGCAAAGCAGGACCTGTGGGGCCTCCAGGACTGGGATTTCCTGGTCCACAGGGAGAGAGAGGTCAACCAGGAGTACCAGGCTGCCCAGGCTTGAGGGGCCCTGATGGCTTGAAGGGTCAGAAAGGTAATTTTTTTTCCTTTTTATTTATTTACTTATTTATTATGAATATTCATGATACAAAGCTAATTGTCACCCCTTGTGCCCATGATGTGAGGGCTAGATTCATAGTGGGGGCATACGCATTACCAGAAATTACTTTTGTACCCCGTGTCTCCCACCCAATTATTCCCCAACCTCCCTCCCCCTCCCCCTTTCCCCCCCACTCCACTCTGTAGCCCTAGGAATGTTCACTCCGTCTGTAAGACCAGCGCACTACTGTGGTCTCAGAAAGGTAATTTTGAATGTTTTTGTGGAAGAATGTCAAGTGAAATCATAAAAGCTAAAGTAAGACCTTCTGAGAAAAGTTATTGTAGCTGTGGCATAAATAAAATTCCGTCTGGGCGCTGTTCAGACCTTGCACGTTATCAAACAAAAGCATGACAGCAAAATAAATATTTAAAAAGAGTCTTTAAAATGCTGTTATCTTTGCTGCTTTATTTGTTTGGCATGCCAAAAATTGGTTTTCATTCATTTCTCAGTATCAAATCCTACAATTTGACTGTATTAAAATTACATATACAATCAAAGTATCTATTTTTTACAATCTTTTGAGATAATACATTATATTTTAATTAAAAAACACTAGTATTTTATTTTTAAAAAATTCATTGTTCATGAAAAACCAACTGTAAGCATTATAGGAAGAAAAAAAGGATTTTAAGTATACTTGACAGTTATGCAAATTTTAAACAATAAAGTGACTTTTGGGATTATAGCTGAAAACTTTTAAGAAGGTGGCAAAAAATGTTGATTTAACATTCTTTTTTGTAATATGTTCATTTACATTGAGCTATATTTTTTGTTTGCTTGTTTGTCTGTTTGGCAGTGGCTGGTACAGGATTGAACCCTGAGCCTTGGTGTTATCAGCACCATGTTCTAGCCAACTGAACTAACCTGCCAGCCCAGCCTTGTTGATTGTGAAGTTTTAGAATAAAATAATATCTTTGGTTCTTGCTTTGACAACATAGAAAGTCAAATACCTTGGCATTCGATAATGTGTAAGTTCATGGTCTAGGGCCAGCTAAATCTAATATTTTTATTCATCTCATATGTCTTTGATTTGAGAACATATAAAGTGATACATTATGAGATATTATTTCTATTATCAAAGAGAAATATTCAGTTTTAGAAGGAGACGGGAACCAGGCACGAGATTTGGAGTCTTATTTTCCTCACCAATTAAAATGGGGGATGGCCATAATCACATTGCTGTCATTAGAAAAATAAGAGATAATATATGTGTATTTGAAGCACCTGAGCCAGGGTAGGCTCTCAGTAAATGATAGCTGTCATTAATATCTAGCCAGGCTCCTTATTTGCACATTTCCTGCACGTTCAAACAAGGAGCCAAATCTTCTGAACTCAGTGTTGGGCACTTGCTGCTATTTCATGATTTATCAAAGCTTCTGATTCCCTTGTGTTAGAGATATCCATGGGCCAATAAATACATTCTTTTCCCTACATTATTGATACTTCTCGGAATCAATATTTTTCTTATTTCCATTATGTTTATAATTGTTCAGGGAGTTGAAATTCAGATTTCAGAACATATCTAGAAATTCAGTACAAAAGCAGTTTAAGTGATCTAATGATACAAGGGAGTTCTCTTTTCCTTCAAATTCTACATATACCGTATGGGAAAATATCTTGAGTGAGTTGTCAATGAGACTCACATTACATTAGGCTATGAGTTATGTGAATGCCGCTTTCTTTTCTTTTTTCTTTTTTTTCCATTCCAGGTGACACAATTCCTTGTGATGTAGCCTACCCTGGGAGGCCAGGACCTCCAGGTTTTGATGGAATTCCAGGTAGTATTATCAATGAGAAATGAGAAATCACTGTCTTACATACTTCCCAGATAAAAGGACCAGCAAGGCAGACGAACCAATAGCAAATCCTCAGACAACTAGTTGGGATATTTCTGAAATGATTATAAGGTTTCAAAGGACTAAGAGACTAGGGGAAAACAGCATTTGTAATGATTTACAGTTGGGCCTCTAGTGACTGGTTTGAGCACACTCTGGATGGGCTTTTCAAATCTTTGTGCAACAAAATTTACCTTGATTTGATCACATATCACTTAAAATATCTGCCTTTGACAAGGTAAATTCCCCTACGTAATTTTCAAAATTGGTTTCTTCCTATGCTTTGTACCTGGATTATTAGAAACAATTTTGTTAATTTTTTAAAAAATTCGTTGAGATGTTGATTGCAATTCAATTGAATTTATGGATTAATTTGGAGAGAATTGACATGTTTATGATGAGTCCTCAAATCCATGAATCTGGCATATCTCTTCATTTTCCTAGTATTTGTTTTAAGTTCTTAAATTGTTTTATTGTTTTCTCCAAACATATCTTTACTTCCTTTGCTAGATTTACTCTTAGACATCTTATAGTTTCTACTGCTACTGTAAATGGGATCTTTCAAAAAATATTACTTTTTAAAAAGTTCTTATTCTAGACCATAGAAGGACTGTTTCCAACATTTCATTATTAAATGTTATGTTCAATGAAAAAAAAATCTGCCTTTGAGAGTTTTAAGATTATATCTTCTTTCTTTTCCTATGCCCCAAGAGTGAAAAATGATCATTTGCTTATAGATTATAAGTTTCACTCTATTTCTACTTTCCAAGAGAACCAACTTTTAACCAGAAACATTCTAAAAAATGCACTTTCATGCAACAGCTTCATTTGAATAAATCAGTTTTTGGCTGAATTAAACCCAAAATCTTCATAAGGAATTTTGCCTAATTTTTTTTCTTTCTTCAGTGTTCCTTAAATTGACCCATTAAGTACTAGCATGGCTATTAAAGGTGACCTTTCTTGTCCCACAGAGCTTCAAAAATATTTGGAGGTTGAATGATGACTGATTCTCTATTGCCCTCTGTAACCATTAGCTTTCAACATCATAATCTGTAAACAACCTCAAAATCTCAGTGGGCTATGACAACAAATATTTATTTTCTCTCTATGGATCTGCAGGTTGGTTGGGGTTCAGCTGATCTAAAATGGTCTCTGTTGGCTTGGTCCCTGGCTCCGGATGAGGTTCAGATCTCCAACACGCATCTTATTGCAGGGCCAGGATGTGTTCCTCTCATGAGATTGCAGAAAGGCTCACTTCACGCCTCTGATTGAATCATGCTCATTAATATCCCATTGGCAAAAGCAAGTCACGTGACCAAGCCCCAACTCAAAGGGCACGGAGGTACACTCCAGCCATCACAAGGCATGGCAAGAGTGTGGCAGCGTGATTCCACATCCGCAGAGGGAAGAACAGCTAGTTGACTGATTGAATGTTCATTTTCTCTTTGACTCGTACCTTGTCATGGGTGGATCAAAAAGTTTCATGACTTTCACCAGGTTTAGCCTTGAAAGAAGTGAACACTCAAATTTTAAGTTGGCAGCTGTAACTCCTTTGAAGTCTCTCCTGAGAGAACCCCTAGTAGGAAATCACAGATGTTTAACATAAAATCTCAATTCCTTTTGCAGCATTTCTTGCCTATACTTCACTTAAGGGCAAATGGAGTAAGATGCAGGAAAATAGATTTTGGCCTTTACTCTGGCACTTTCTCATCAGCTGAGACGCTGGCCACTACCCCTTTCCTCCTACTGTGCTCACATGATTGTATTTGAGAACTAGCATGGGGAAAATACCAAAAAATTCATTAAGTCCCAGAGGCTTTCAGGAAGGATCCTTTACAGTATGGTTTCTGAGAAAGTACCTTACCAGAGTCACTCTCTATAAAACCCTTATTTGGAGTACATGACTAATAAAATGATTTTGTGAACCAGGATAGGCAACATCTTTACTTCCATAAAGTAGAAATAGTCTAAAAATACTTAGCATAGACTTTGTTTTTTTAATAATGTCATTTTGTTCTCATTTGATTTGTGTTTTCTTGAGTCTGTGTTTTGTTGTTATTGTTTAGGTCCAAAGGGATTTCCAGGTCCGCCGGGTGCTCCTGGGCTGAGGGGTTCAGATGGGCAAAAAGGCCGACGTGGCAAACCAGGAACATCAGAAATACCAGGTCCTCCTGGTAAATGAAGTGTTTTTCCTGCTTTGGGAGTGTCTGTCAGGAACTTTTAAATATTCCTAAAAATGGGTGACTTTATTAAGGACATGGCCCAGGGATCCCTAGATAATGGGGAAATAGTTTCTTGACACATTAGCCCCTCACCTGTGTTGTGATAACTTTTAGATTACGCTGATTTCACAAGCTGCCAGGCTCCTAACACCTTGAAGCATATTACAGGCTATTACTAGTCTATTGTTTTGTTGAAACTGCTCAGTCCAGAGAGAATGTTTGCCAGAGAGTGAAAGAAATTAGGAAAACTCCATTGGCTTTTAGGAAACATAAAGTTACATGTTATCTCTCTACAAAAAGTGGTAAAACCAACATTACCTACTAAGCTGCTCTGAATTTTAGTAAGTACCCCTGTAATTTTTAGAAATGTGTTTTTATCAGAGTAGTAGTCTTATGTGGATTTGTTCTGTACTTGTAGGTGTAACAATTAAACCTTTTTTTGTTAAATAGGTGTTCGTGGTGACGTGGGGGATCCAGGTTTAAGAGGTGAAAAGGGGTCCTCCCTGGTCGGGCCCCCAGGCCCTCCGGGGCCACCTGGAGTGAATGGTCAGAAAGGAATCCCAGGAGACCCTGCATTCGGTCACCTAGGACCCCCGGGAATGAGGGGTCTATCAGGAGTGCCAGGGACTAAAGGACCCAGAGGTGATCCCGGATGTCCAGGGGCTGAAGGTATGAGGCCCTGCTGATCCTATGGCCCATAAAGCTGGCTCAGTTTTGGAACAGGTCACTGAAGAATGCTCAAACTCTCCTGCTTAGGTTTCTAGAATATACAAATTTCCCCAAGTGTTTTCCCTCATACACAGGCACTGATTACATTCCCACCAACCTGCACCCCCAGTGTTGCTTTTGCAGGTTATTGGTTGTTTTCTAATTCAGGGCAGTTCACTGTGGCTCAGTTAACTCAATTTGATTCTGCAGCCTGCTTTGGGCTCATGTAAGTATGTTAGTGCCACAAAACGCCAAGAGCTGGGACCGTGTAACCCGCCCACTGTCGTGGCCAACTTGAAGGTGGGCAGGGCAGACTGTAAGAGGAAGAGCAGCTCGGAGGGCAGAGCAGTTGGGCGGCAATTGCGGGAAAGCTTTGTGGGAGAGCTGGGCAAGCTGTCTTTGGACAGATGACAGGGTGGAGGGACTTTCATTCCAGCAGGGATAGCAGGCAGGGCAGCAAAACTCAAGATGGGAAGATGGCCCCAGCACTGACTCACATCCTTTCCCCAAATCACTGAGGATTCTTCAGGACTGCAGCAGAGATGTTCAGGTTTTCATGTACTTAAAAATAACCCCCAGGGCGGGGAGGGGGGCCATTAAAATTAGTCTTCCTGGCTCCAGCCTCAGGAATTCTGATTCATTTCATCTGGGTGGGGCCCAGCAGTCTGGACTTCCATGCGTCCCTCAGGTGGTCATGATCTGGAGATGACTCTTTTTTAACAAAGGTAGGGCCAGTATTTATTAGATATGCACTGGAGTGCAGGGTCAGTGGAGGGGAGGAAGAGCAGAAGCCGCCCTCTTTGCCCTCAAGGGACTTACATGGTAGTTTTAAAGCCAAAATATTCACATACAAAAAAACAATTAATTGAAAAGAAACAAGATAATACATTATTAGGTCAACAAAAATAATTTTGACCAAGTAATTCCATTATCTCACTCGGAAAATGTATCTAAGGGACATGCTCAACAGAAGATGAAGGTTATAGATATGAAAATACTCTTGTAGTATTATCCACAGTAGAGGAACAATTGGACACAGTAGAGTAACACACTCACTCACTCAAAGGAATACTGTTCAGCTGTTAGCAATTAAAACCATATTCGTAAAGACTGCAAAATGAAATACACTTGCAGATTAATATGCAATCTGAAATAATCCAACAATTGAATGTGCATTGTGATGACTATTTTTAAATGTAAACATATGAACCAAAATACAGAGAAAACATTAAAAAATGTTTTTGCGGGTTAGGAAGTGAAATTTAGGGAGATTTATTTTTGTTTCTGAAGATTATGACACTGTCTTTCCAATAAACAGAAATTCGAGAGTGCAAGTGATAAAATCTCTTACAAAATGCAAATTAATACAGGACAAACTGGGTTTGCAAATGCAAGTATTGTAGAGATTTGGCATAAAGCCTGCTGCAAAGTTAGAGGTTAATTAAAATCAGGAAGAACTAAGTGGTTTCTCATTTGCAGAGGCAAGTTCTTTGTATTGCACATAATCTTATCAAGCAACTCACTTAGCAAAGTGTGGTTTCTCCATTCATTTGGATCTCAGTACATCTATGATTAGAAAATCCATTCAGAAGCATAACCCATTTGAGCACTGAGTTGGGATCTAAATATTTACCTCCTGTATTGATACATATGACTAGTTTACAACTATACTGGCCATGTGTATAGTTTTATGCCATGAATGTCATGGACACATTGTATCATTTCAGGGGCAGATGGCATTCCCGGGTTCCCAGGTCTCAAAGGGCCCAAAGGCAGAGAAGGAAGAGCAGGGTTTCCAGGTATCCCAGGTCCACCTGGTCATTCCTGTGAAAGAGGCGCTCCTGGGATGCAAGGGCAACCAGGACACCCTGGGACTCTCGGTAGTCCAGGTAAGTGTCAGCGGGTCTCAAGAAACATGAAGGTCTGGGGTTTGCCCTACTTATAAGCGAATAAGTTCACCTCTTGCTCTTTTATGGATGTTGGCAGAAGCAAGAGTCCTGGGTCAGAGACAAAGGAATTGATTACTCATGAGTTTCCTGTTGGTTTGCATCATTTCCTCATGTCACCCAAGTTCCATGGAGATGACATAAGTGGGGCTGGCTGGATCAGGACTGCAAGCACAGGTGGTTGCATTATACGAGACGGGCACTGAGCCTAGAAACCACTGCTTTCTAGTAGCCTGAAAGAAAGCCTGCTTTATGTAGCAGGGGAGGCACTGTGTCATCTGTCAAGGTTGCTTGCTGCAAACACAACCTTGAGAAATAGCCCAGGTAAAGAGCATCAGAACCTTGCATTGTCAGCATACCCAGCAAGACATGTGAGAGCTTGAGAGATCCACGAAGGAATGTCTCTCGACACAAGGTGCTAAGGGGCTTAGTCCATCTGTGTTGCTATAACAAAATATCTTAGACTGGGTAATTGATAAACAACAGAAATCGATTTCTTATAGTTCGGGAGGTTAGCAAGTCCAAGATCAAGGTGTCAGCAGATTTGGTGTCTGGTGAGGAGGACACGTTCCTCACAGATGGTGCCTTCTATGTGTCCTCACATGGAGAAAGGGGTGAACATCTCCCTTGCACCTCTTTCACAAGGTCATTAATCCTATTATGTTATTTTTTTTTTAATTTTTTTTTTTTTTTGTCTTTTTCCGTGTCCGGCAATGGATCGCAACCCTCAGTGTTGCCCCCGTACCGGACCGGGGACCGGCAACGGGATTGCAACCCTCGGTGTTGCTCCCGCGCCTCGCTCAGCCAGTGAGCGGGAACCGGTCTGTATGTGGGATCCGAACCCTCGGGCGGAAGCGCCGCCGCGCTTCCCAAGCGGCGCACTATCCAGTGCGCCACCGGGCCGGCCCCCTATTATGTTATTTTTGTCCTTGTGACTCACTTACCTTCTAAAGGTCCCATCTCTTAATACTATGACACTGGCAGTTAAGTTTCAACACATGAATTTCGGGGGGACACATTCAGACCACAGCAGGGGTTATTTCCAATATGATCATTTCACCATTCAGGTTGTCAACTCTGTTATTTAATTCCTATTGATTTTGTCCAAATGCAGGATTATGCCCACTTGAAAAATCAAAATAAGATTGGGACAAAACTTGCCATGACGACCTTATATCTAGCACCAATAATACTGGGTGGTGTTGCTCTGATTTCTACAATTTTCTCATCACAGTTGAGGTTCACTCAGCCAGAGCTTCAGTAAGCACCTGGAAAGTTCTCTTCTATCAGACACCCCCCACCAAGAGTCAATACAAATAAGGTTTCTGTTTTTCACCCCTATCCATTTTCCATTAAAAAAGATCTTTATAATCTTCATTTATCCCTACTGGAAAATATTTATTCATGCGATTTGCCTTTCCTTTAATAGCATCCAGAAAAATATTTTCTTAGACTGATGGCAAGTTGTGACTGTTATTTTAGCTGCTAAATGTTGCTTTACTTTGTTTAATTAGCTATAGATACATAATTTAAGCTACTGTGAGTATTTTTTCCTGCCTCTGTGTGGAGCCAGTTTTCAGTGGTGGCACACTAATGTCACTGTGGTTTGTCTCAGGGGCTCCAGGCCGGAAAGGGGAGCAGGGAGATGTGGGTCCTCCTGGGCCAGCTGGAATGAAGGGCCTCCCTGGACTCTCGGGACTGCCAGGGGCAGATGGACCCCCAGGACCTCCAGGAATCCCAGGCGCCTTTGGAGATGATGGACTACCTGGTCTTCCAGGCCTGAAGGGTGGGTAGCACTTTTCCCTTATTTCCCCCCATTTTATAAACTTGAAATCCACTCTCAAGTGATGACCTGTTACATATGACCATACAAATAGAATTTACTGTTAATTTGCCTGACTTTTTTCTTCCCTTAATGATATCTCCCTTCTTCTTGTCCTCTGTATTGTCATTTCCAGTGGCAGAATGTTTGGGTGGAGGTAAATGGGGAAAGGGGATTGGGGTGTTGGGTCCACGGAAGCCATAAACACTTCAGCTCAAAGACTGGGTAGCGCTGGGGAAGTCCTAGGGTCAGGGCTGATGCACTGTCACTTTGGATGGATCCTCCACACTCATCCCCACCCCTGGTCCTCTTAAAGCATTATGGGATCAGGGCTCAGAAACTTCAGGGCCTAAGCATCAGGTCTGTAGGATAGAAAACAAGATCGGAGGAGCTCGAATGTCCTCATCACAAAGAAATGATTCCATTTTGTAGTGATGAATGTGCTAATTATCCTGATTTGATCATCACACGTAGAATACAGGTATTGATTTTCAACTCTGTACTCCACAAATACGTAAAATCAATTACGTTTCAATTAAGAAAAAAAAAGGTGCTCTTAGAGGGCAGGAGAAAAAAAAAAAAAAAGAAAACAGGACTGAGCTGGATGAGAGAGCATAGCTGTTAAATGCCGTGAGGCTGACACTGTGGTTGACCTTCAGTACAAACTCAGAGTCGGGCAGGAGTCTGCAGCTCTGAGTGGACTACAAGCAACACTGTAAGAACCATATCCGTAGCCTGTAAAATATCTTCCTATAGGTACAACATTACAAAGTTACAGTTAGGTAAGTTCTGGTGCTCTAGGGTGACAATAACTGAAAATATTGTATTGTATATTTTAAAATAGCCAGGAAAGAGGATCTTTTTTTTTTTTTTTTTTTTTTTTTTTTTTTTTTTTTTTTTTTTTTTTTTTTTTTAAAA